AGTCATGTGACACTTTAACTGGTCTAATTTTAGAGGTAACAGTCTGATAAGCATTGTCTGTCTGTGTGCCAGTGGGGCTATTGGCTCTTCCTGTGGGACTAGATCCTGACTTAGGACTCGGGTTCTTTATCTTAAAGGAAGACAACTGTGGTGGAGGAAGTTTCCTGAAATCAATGTGGAACATTTTGTTAAGTTAGTCTTAGTATCCAGTGTATAAATGTGTATAAATGAAATTCTGATTTTGTTTGTCTCAAGATATACTCACTTCAAGGAGTTAACTGGAGAGGGTTTCATAACAGGTGGTTGAGGAACAATATTTTTGGACAGCATTTCTTTTTCCATTTTGGATCTTTCTGTCTGCAACTCTGTAATAGATTAAGTAATTGCTTTACATTTGAGTTTGAAATCTTCAAGAAAAAATGCTTTAAGGGAGATAACCATATCATAAGTTCATTGTACCTGCTATAGTTGGCTCCCTTGAGATTGTTCCCTGTGTTTCGGCTCTATATGTGGCCTCCTCATCCAAACATTCATACAGAAACTGAATATCCTTTAACAGGGTGTTGATTTCATCCTCTAAGTATCCTCTAAAAGAAATACCAGGTATTTACAACATATTAATGACTGAACACCTCAACATTTTATAACTTTGTATTTGGACATCATTTGTAATTTTGAAATTGGTTTGCAACTTTTTTATTTATATATTTTTTTAACAGTAAGAGTTAGAGGTTTAATCAGCAAGCATTGTTAATAAAAAGTATATTCAGAAAAAATTACTATGATTGATCAGAACTATCAAACATTCAACAACAAATTTGAAATGCCATATTGTAACAATTTAAGGACCAGTTTTATATATTGAGATTGATATTTAAAAATCTTTTAAAATGGGATTATAGCTAGTGCCATGTAACAAACAGTTTTGATTCCTTACAAACATACTCCCTTAAATCCAAATAAATTCATAACGTTTAAAAACCAATGTCAGTGATGTAACTATGAATTCACTACAGACTTGTAAACATGTTTTCCAGTAATTTTCAGGTGAAAAAAAAAAGTTTTAAAAAATACATTGTATTCACTTAAGATTGATAAATGCCTCCCAAGGTGATTAAACTGTAGCTTTCATTTAATTATTACCATAATACAGTTACTAACTAGAACACTTTTACTGTTATAATACAATAATAATTAGAATGAGAACTGTACTTTAGATGTTGGACAACTTCATCAAACTTGAGGTAATTCAGCTTATCCGTCATGGACTCAATTTCTTCACTAAGAGTGGAAGCAGCAGACGTTCTGTTAAAAAAATTTAAAATGTCTATTTTCAATTAAAAATTCAAAAACTTTTAAACAAGGAAATAACTCTTCTTTTTCAGTGAAAATGATAAATAATGTTTAGTTTAAAGCTTATAAACGAGTCTAATCAATCTTCTGTTACAGGTGTTACTGAATCTTCTATTTCCTTCTTAACCCTGAGTCATTTGAGAACTTACCTATCACTTCCAGTGGGGGTACACATCATGGGTGTGTCCTGGCCGTCCCTTGACATGGCAGTAGAGGGCCTGGACCCTCGTGCTGTACCAGGTCCTGCAGTGAACAGATTCATCAAAAATACAGGTATATGCTATCAAGTTTACATGTCTTCATATACTTGTAAAAGAGAAAAAGAAAATGAATGGATAATGAAAAAGATTTATGGAGATAAATTATTTTCATTCAAGAATCTGTTTTTAACATACTGCTGACTTCCATGGTATAATCGAGTACAGCTTTATTGTGTCCTGTGGCTAGGATCCTCTCAGGATTTCTACAATGAAAATTCCACAGGATGCAAGAGTTTTGTCCCTTTAAATCATTTGTAACATCATTCAACATCAAATAATTATAAGAATTTATATGTCTTTAAAGAACATTGAGAATATTGAAAAGTATACGTTGTAAAATAATCATAGAATGATCACTTGAACAATATCAATTTCTATACAGTAAACCAAGATTTTTAACTTTAGATGTAGCAATATGTACCGGTATAACTTTAATCTTTCACAACATATATGAAATAAAAACATTTCACAACAAAGTACTTACAGTCCCTGTAACCTGGACTTCTCTTTGACATTCTCTATGAAGAACTGAATCTCCTGTACTAGTCTGTCTCTGAGTCCTGGTGGCTCAGGAAGTTTCTCCTTACAATTATCATTGGTCTCATCACGATAGTCCCTCCAGATGTCCAGAAGGGTCTCAATCTACAATGTCACAATTCATCATTAAAACAAATTCTTATTTCACCTTTTAAAAGATTTACCCATACAATGAAGCCTAAAGTTTATATCTGGTATGCTCATCAAAAACACAAAAGTGCTATTTCAGTAAAAATTATACAAAAAAGGGGGGGGGGGGCATTGTTTCCCTTGACAGTTTACCAACTTTAAATTTGGAAGAAGAAAAATTTCTCATATTAAAATCATTAAACATATGTTTCAATGAGTGTTTTCTGCATGTATATCAAAGATGTATATGAACAAACAGATTTCTTTCAATAAAAAAGTGTAAATGAGAAAGAAGTTTTGATAAAGAATGCAATGCACCTTTTTATTATCATGATTATGCACAATAAACTTAAGTAAAAAATTTAGATTTTGCTGAAATAGCCTTTTTTGTAAGGATGATCCTATGGATTAATTTCATTTAAAAACAAAATACTAAAATCTTAAGTCTTAGGTAAAACGTTTTATAAGTCTGAGCTACTGGTTGAAAATGAGACTCACTCATGGTACATTGGTCTAATGCTATAAGAACTTTTAACTTTAATTAATAGGGATTAATTAACATATATCTAATTAAAACACCTGTTACCATATCGAAATAACCCTTGTCTTTTTGTCATAATATATCAAAATAACCTTAATCTTAACACACACATATAACAACATTTAGTGTATAAATGAATGTGAAGGACGCCATGTAATCAATCTCAATCAGACCAATTAAAAATGTGTGGTAAACCAACGTTATTGTGTTTTCTTTTGTACATATATCTCTTGTGGAAGAAATAAATAGATTACAGGATTGTATTTCTTATCGCTATAAATACCGGTAAATTGATTGCTGAGTTGCATGTATTTGTGTAGTTTCTCTCTCATTTAAGATGGTAGTTTGGAGTAAAATTTGGCTTCAATTTCAAATATCTGATACATTTAACACATATATATGCATACAAATATTTTCTCTTCCAAAATAAACTGACTGACACTGGTTGAATGGACTGTACAGTAGGTGAATAGCTGCTATGTGGCAAAATAGTGTAGATTAGCTCCTACATGATTTTGAAGACTACAGATGTAGTTGCATTAATAATAACCCCTAAACTAAATATACTTTTTTGAGCTTTTATATATACCTTCTTACAGAAAATCAATCCTTATAAAGGGAAATTCAATAAATTTATCAATTTTTACTTGGCCATGTCGTCATTCGGAACTCTTTGAGATGCTTTATGAAATGAATGCTATCGTTAAACCAAGTCCATATGACCGAATAAATGGAAATTCTAGCGAGACGCAAATTTAGCAATTTGTCCTTAAATTATGGTAGTTTATTTTTAGCGAGAAGTAATTTTAGCGATTTTAAAATGCTTACTAAAAAAGCTTTTACAAATGAAACACAGTTTATTTTTAGCGATATTTAATTTAAGCGATCTCAGAACCCTCCCCAATAATGCCAAAATTAATCCTCATTTAAAATTGTGCTTGTACGGTATTCATTCTAAAGATATACCGCTGGTAATGCTCTATCCAACACAAATTACGTAACTTTTTCAATAAATCTTTGGCTTACCTCAGTCCTAATAAATCTTTAGCTTACCTCATTCCGAAGTTCTAAGCTCTGGTCAATGAGAGATTCCCCAAGCATACCCTTTATCTCTTCATGTTCATGGACTGGGATATACTGTTCCACAATACTCCAAAGAGATATTGGGGGCTCATAAGCATGCAGGTCAAAATTTGGCTCCATCAGAATCTGGTCCAATAAATGTCTCTGTGTTTCTTTATCACATCTTTAAAAGTGGTTTCTGGTAAAAAAAAAAAAAATTATTAAAAGTCAATAAAATTTTAGAGAGGAAGTGGAGTACATTAATTTAAAATGTATGGAATATTACCAGTATTGCTAAAGGCCCTATATTCATTATAGTATTTGAGTTTGCCCCTTTCTTTTTCACCCAAGTCTCACAAGATTGTTTTGCTTGAAGAAAACATAATTTCTCCTCACTTAGCATGAATCCTCTTTTTAATTCCACATGTGGCTATGTTTTCAGTCAGGTGTAAATTTAGGGTGGCTTATGAAAAAATATATTTTACTAATTTTCCATAAAAATTAATAAACCTGAGACACAAATATAATATACTTTACAGGTTAGAGATATATTTAACACAATTTCATAAGTCAAAGTCACTCATAAAATAAATTATTCAATTTTTAGTTTCAACATTCCTCTCATTTTTGGAATGTAAAATGTGACATTGCATAGGGTCTTATATTAAACGGTTGTATGAGCCTATAAAATCTTACTCTACAGACACAGTTCTTTTGCTAATTTTACTAGCGATGTTTCTTCAATAAAAATCAGTTTTTCTAGTTGCCATGGAAACTGTCTTTAATTAATAAAAGTTAAAATTAAAATTGCGTGTCGGACGAACTCTTGTCTGTCCAATTTACACTGACTAAAAATGATTAAATTTACAGATGTTGCATGCGTGTTTAAAGCTTCTTGCCACTTTTCAGCTGTAGATATGCAGTTTCTTGCATAATAAAATTCATTTCTATCCAAATTACATTGTTTTTCTGTGAAATATGTTAAATCAATTAAATCTTCTCCTTTGTCTGTCCTATGTTACGGGCGAAAATTGTAAATTTAAAAACCGATTTTTTCAATCAACGGACCTCTCTGGGGCCCCTTTTACGACATACATGTCTTGTGATGGAAGAAAACAAGTACATCACGTGTTTACCGCAAACCAGTCTGTTTACAAGATGGACGGAGGCAAGGAAAAATAGTTGTCCGTCTCACTGAAGTATGTAAGTTACGGGCGAATGTGTGTTCGTCCGAATGTTCGTCCGAATGTGATACTTTATGAAATTTAGACGCCAAAATTAATTAACATCACACATATTCTTGTGAATTATCATGCTACATTACCGTAATTGATATAATAGATTGAAATAACTTCGTAATTTCATCAAAATACAAAGTAAAGCTGTGATTTTTCAATCTGGACACAATGATTTCCATTCGGACGTAACAACAACAAATACTTTATAGATATCTATGTTATTATGGTAATTATATTGAATTCTTAATGCTTAATGTCCAGCAAACTTGAGTGAATTTTTTTTTAATGATCTCGATCATATCTATGAAAGTCGATTACAGATTACTTCTAATTAATTCAAATGAAATAGATTTGATATCTTAATTTCTTCTTTTAACAGTATTTACCAAAGAGACAGTTGAAGATCTTGAGAGGAACTTCATAGCAGCTATATATAGATTATGTCAATAATTACCTGAATAAATATCTTTTAGATGGAGATAGATCATTTTGTGTGTTTTTTCCTCAGTTATTATGTGTAATAAAAAATACAAAAGAGATTAAAATTCCCTAAATCCTCAGTGTCCGTCCAGGTTTTTCCAACATCTGTCTTCTGTTTGTCCAACATAAAAAATGACAGTTTAAAGTTTCATACTTGTCTTATTTATCAATTTTTCCCAATTTTCTTTGCATTTTATGTCTTTGGTCATCATATAATTTCAAATTCCAAAGCTGAAAATACTTTTCCTTGAGCATCGAGAACAGAAAAATAGAATTTTTGTCTGTCCCTGTTTGTCCAACACTTCGTCACTTTTTTAATATTTTAATGAGTTTAAATGATTTTGAAATATGAGAAAAGGTTTAAACATAATTGCTTAACTAGAATATAGTTCAAGAAATGTAGATTTGCAATTTATATTGAAGTTGATGGAAGATACAACCGATTTTGTCTGTCCTGTTCGTCCAACATGTGATGTGGACAGCCCAATTATTTTTCATGAATAAAAACATTTTTCCTTAAAAATTTATCTTTTTAATGATGCAGTTAGCAAGTATAGATATATATTTTATCCCATGTCAAAATTTAAGTTGATATTTCAAGAAAAAAATTCTCAAGTATTTGTCACAGATATTCTACACTGTACTGAAAACGTAGCCATATGTTCGAAAAATAATTTGAACATTTGTTTTTCTTCAAACCTATATCAAGTGCATTAGTGTTATACTGTTCCTTCAGAGTTTCCCAAAACTATCGGTCCTACCGGCAAAACCGATAGAAAATCGAAATGTTCGATGAAATTTGCTACAGTACCGGTCCGTGTGACCGATTGTGGTGAGGGCTTATCCTGATTAATTTATAATGCTCTAATGTAATAAAATATCTTCATAAATGTCAATTTGCAATGCAGTAAGCTCCTTTTCTTCGTTAATATCTATAATCTTATCCATTTTGCAGTTCTACTTGACTTATTTACTTCCAAAAACGATCGTTTTTTCTAATCCGAATTTCCTCCATTCCTCTGTTGGTAAACGCATGCAGTATATATAGGTAAAAAAGTGCAATGCCCACTAAGAAACCGTAAAGATAATTTAAAATTTATTTCTTATTTCTATCATAACTGCTATTTATATATGATTCAATTTTACAAGTGAAAATTAAACTTTAAATTTTAAAAAGAATTCTAGAAACCGTGAGAAGTTTTTTTTTTTTCAAGAATTAACTTTTTTTTTACAATTAGTTGTTTCTTTCACCCAACATATACTTAGGGCTAGTCACTTTATTGCTGCCACAAGCCTGTGTGAGCTGGTGCCATGCTTGAATAAATTATACATGTAGTTGCATAACCCTGGTATCACAATCAATGTTTGTCCACAAAATTTTCTACATATTCAATGCCTTTTTCTTTGAATTACATTTGACACGAAATATACACTGTATATTTTAAAATTTATTTGGACTGATAGAATATGCTTCGGACCGGTAGAGCACATTAAGTCATCAGTCCGAATGACTGATAGAAATATTTGGTTTTCGGAAACTCTGTTCCTTTTGTTTTCATTCTGTCAACCAAAGTTACATATCTGAATTGAGAGGGCTAAATTAGGCTTTTCCTGCTGCCCAATCCCATTCACTTTTATTTGTGAATAAAATTAGTTATAAATATTTAAAAAAAATCTGAACTAAAATTTGGTCTTTATTAGGGCTGGGACAATACAACTCTTTCTATATCGATGCGTTTCACGATATTTGAGGCAAGATGCAATATGTATCGCGAAATGTTTATTTGGTTATAAAATCTTTTTTTTTTTGGATTGAAATAAACAAAGCATTTCTTCGCAAATAAAAATAATTTATTCAAAAAAGTTGTTTATACAAAATTCTTTCACTCAAGTGGTGTTAATTATTATTTATTTCATATCTTTATTCATATTAAGCACATTTATTTATATATTAAACCTAAAATGTCAAATAAAGAAAAACAGAAGTCAGAATTTTTTGCAAGATACCAATATTTCTTCATATGCATCGATATGCATATCATCCTCACAAAGATTCGATATCGATATCTTGATATATCGTCCCAGCCCTATAGTCTTTATAATGTCATTTCCACTAAGAGATCTGAGCATACCCATAGGACCTAGTTTTAAACTTATGCCAGGTTAGGTATGGTACTGTAAGAGTGATGATTTATTAATTAATTTCTAATTAATTAATAAATATCAAATTATTTTGTATTCTGTTTGTATATATTTTTATTTCAGCTTATTAGGTAAGTGTATGGTCACTCAGGTGTAACAGACAGTGCTACCCTGTTATTTGCCTTTAGGGTTATAATTAAGGTCCTGGCCATAAGTTCTATAAGTCATTTCTTTTAAAATTAACCTTTACACTTAAAACTAAATTAATCAAGAATTTTCAATACCAAGGGTACCCAATAAATATGTAAATTTCAAAAATACAATAGGCTTGCAAGCAAAGAAAAGAAAAAAAAATAAATAATTGAGCTCTTAGTATACAGGTAAGCAATATTCTAACAGTAACACTCACCAATCAGCTGTTAAAATCACTTGTAGAAAATGCACACCATATATGGCACAAAACACAAAGCACAAAACACAAATAACACAAAGAATGAATAATGAGTCACCAACTTGTCCAAAGGTGGTCTTGACGGATTATACCCCGCAGAGGTGATCTCGACGGATATGTACCACGCAGAGGTGATCTCGACGGTTATGTACCGGTACTGTCACTATCAGTCACTACATCATCGTAACATATGGTACGCGTACATCACACATCACAAGTCCGTCCATCCATCCATGAATACGACATACACTATAGGACGGGCACTGGTCAGGCAGACTGTTCATTATGGGTATCAGAAATGGCGTTAGGCTGCTGGTTGTTGCAGAGAGGTCCTCACTGTCTGTCCCGAGGGTCTCCCTGCACTGTCTATCCCAAGGGTCTCACTGCACTGTCTATCCCAAGTGTCCCAACGTGGGCGCCAAATTTGTAACAGGGTTATGGAATCGTAATAACGAAAACACCTGTCAGGGTTCGACACACTGTTTATTAATGGTTGTAGATATAAATATATTCACTATTGCCCATTCTGAGGGAATAGGCAAGCTCCCATATGGTTTATCACACAACTACAGTATATGGCTGGGAGTCCAGATGATAACAGAAGATGAAGAGAGTCACAGTCAGAATGTCAAATAGTCAAATTCTGTCACAACCAAATCAATGGAACCTCTCTATATACAATCTGGACAAAGAATGACCAGAAAGACCAAGAACACTTTGGAGGGAATTTGACAAACCAATAAAACACAAGAACACAAAACTAAAACCCAATAGAAAGAAATGACTTATAGAACTTATGGCCAGGACCTTAATTATAACCCTAAAGGCAAATAACAGGGTAGCACTGTCTGTTACACCTGAGTGACCATACACTTACCTAATAAGCTGAAATAAAAATATATACAAACAGAATACAAAATAATTTGATATTTATTAATTAATTAGAAATTAATTAATAAATCATCACTCTTACAGTACTTCAAATAAAAGCATAATACATGCTTCATCATTCTGAGGGAAAAATATTTTAAACAAAGAAATGACTTAATTAAAAGATATAAAATGCTATTTTAGTTTTGTTTACAAATTTATTAGTAAAAGTGGAATGACTTATACATACAGACTTAACAGGACGCTGATTTGTATGAAATGTGACAAATGTGATGTAGAGACACAAAAACACGTACCTTACACAATAGGATAACCATAATCTGATCTAGATAAGTCGTGGGTAAAGACACTGGGTTCTAGTTGTTAATTAAGCTAAAATACATGAAAACAACTTTTGAAAGAGAGCAAATAAACTGTATATGTTTGAAGGCATTTTTAATGCTCTGGAAAATACGTATGAGTGTAAAGGACATTTTAAAGTGCTTGAGTCATATTTTTGGCCGCCATTTGTTTACAGGTCGTTCAGGACGACGGATATAGCAGACGATTCGTTTTTGCTCTCTACAATATTATTATTGCCATAAATTATGAACAATATGTATTAAAATGGATATTTACACCTGATTTCTTACTTACAATAGCTTGGCATTCGATTTTTCTTCTAATTTTTGTCATTTCAGTAGGTGACCGTGCGGATTTCTGCCATGTTCGGAAATTCTAAACGGAAAACCAAAACTGAAATGATGTCCGGATTTTAAACGTCGACCGTCAAACAGTTTTTTTCCTGATTTTTTTTTAAGGAAATAAAAACTTCAAATAAAGCTATTCAAGAGTTTATATAAACCGTTGCATGAACTTGAGATAAAAAAGGAAAAGCAACTCAGTATATTTAAAATATTAGGAAACCCAATTTTTTTTCCATATATTTTTAGTAAGTGTTAAAGATATATTATAGTAATAAAGGTGAATTATTTCATTACATTCCTAATATAAAAATAAGATCAAGATATCTTAAATTAAAAAAAAAAACGCTTTTGACCTTAACATAGCACATGTTTATTAAAACTTGACAATATATTTTCTGTAGGGCCAATGTAAATTTTATTTAATATTACTGAAAGTATAAGGCTCCAAGTATATATAGTACATAACGTTTGTCTGAAGAGCCATTAAAGGCAGAAAGCGCTAACAGTAAAAATGATGTTCGAGTCTTGTGATTCTTGAATTTTTTTTCATTGTACATATAATATATATATATATATTATATGTACAAGTTTTATACTCCTTTCAAACAGATGTACATGATAGCATATTAACAAACATATGCCATAATATTGTGTAACAATTATTTGACCTTTAAAAAAGATAAAAAAAAAATCTTAAAGGTTTACTATAATTTCAGAAGCACTTGCAATGACCACTGAAAAACTAACAATGAGTGGACATGTTAATTCTGAACTAAGGTGCAGAATTGTCACATGCAATTCCCTTATCAATACGTATATATGTGTTTATATGTCGTGTATTTGGGTATGTGACATATTTATGTCTTTTTTTTTTCTTTGAACAAATCTGAAATGCTATGGTTCCACAATAGCCCAATGGGAAGGGAGTAATAACAAAATAACATATTGGCCACTAAGAAAATTTTATTCAGATATTAGCACTTAAAACAAAAACAGAAAACTGTCCAAAGCATACTACAGTAAAACATAAAATAATGACATAATCACCATGACTACAACACCAAGACAAGAAAAGTTGACCTACTCCTTAATCATATATCTTGAAGCATAAGATTTATATTAAAAAATCAATAAAAATGTACCTGGAAAATTATCAAAATTACTGCTTTGAAGATACAATATAATGTCTATTCTTTAAAAAAGATGAAAAAAAGGATATCTAAATATTGTAATCATGATTAGATCTATTTCATTGATATAATTATTTGGATATGCATGTTTCTAAAACAGGTATTTTTAAAATATTTCATTGATATGACATCAATATCAGTTCACCCTAAAAACAGAAAAGCTGACTGCAATTACAATGTACTTGAGAAACATCAAACACACAAATGTGATAAGTAAAGAACTACAAAATACCATTACACAGAAAAAAAAATTCTCTGGAATGTCACAGTTAACCTAACAAGAAAATATTTTAACTTAACCTAATGTTTTTAAAAATAGAAATTGTGATAAAATATCTTATAGTTTTTAATAGAGTCAAACCTGACATCAACAGATACCTTATTTTTGTTGTTTACAATAAATCCTTAATGAAATATTGCCAGAAGTATGAGAGACTTTTTTGTTTCATTACTATTTTTTGTCACAGGACAGCTAAAAAATGTGATATTTTTCATCTACATGTATAAATAATTAACAAGTAACAAGATATTAAGTAACAAAACAAAATGATATTAAAATGACTAGTATCCATATTGCTAAAATGATCCATTATTATAAGACATCTCCTTTGTAACAAGGCATGATATAAAATTCAGCCAAAATTATGACATAATTGAAAATGAATATACCTTTGGTAATTCCTTCGTTATATATATATATTATCATTCTCTAGAGGAAAAATCCATGTATTTGTAGAAACTACAAGAAGTACATCTATAAATGCAACACACTGTTTACAAAAAATATGTACATATTTATAAAATATATAAATGTCTACGCCATTACTCAAATTATTTTGGAAGGTACAATGTACGATGCAATTAAAATCAATAACATGTAATTTCAATATGTGTTTGGCTTGCCAAAGCACTCATATTTGAATTGTTTGAAATAAGTAATGAAAATATGTATACATTCATTATATTATATATTATAAACATTATAATGGTATGTCTAATAAAGTTAACATTTTCAACTATAAACATGTACATTTTGCTTGTTATTTTACTGAAACTTATAACTTATAAGAAAAATGGAAAGAAAAGATAGAAATTAAGTACAAAATTTCCATTTTACTTTTAACAGAGAATTAAAAAAAAACAAATCCATAGCCATTTCAATATCTGAGCTAGATTTGTGAACCAAATCAAAGTTTAAGTCACGGTTGGTACAAGTGATATGTACACAAATCACAACCCTGCTATCACAATATTAAAATACTGTCTCCAAAAATATCAACAGAAGCCATTATTAAAAAGGCACTTTGCCACTATTGTTTTGAAATTTCAATTAAGGTATAAAAACAATACATACATTTTCATTTTTTCATTTCTGGCGTTCAATCACATGTGCATATTTCAAGTTTTTTCAACAGAGAGAGGTAGACAATTTTTTTTTTATTGGAATATGTTTTTTTTTCCATCTTCAACATTTTAAAGCATTAAGCACCGGCTATGGAAAGAGACAGAGAAAGCACAGAGTAAGAATCACTATATCAGCACCACACTATTACAACATCACTATTGCTAAAAAATATTTACAAAAAGAAAAATAAGTGTAACATTTTCTCCTTTCCAGTTAAACACTTAAAGCAAGCAGGAAAAAAATGGAACAAGGAAAAGAACACTGCTACCTGTAAAAGAAGACCTCACTGAGCAATAAAATGTAGCAGTATTTTATATATGAGCAATATCAACCTTATTATAAGAGATTCATTATGCATAAGCATTAAAAATGTGCAGAGAAATAACTTATTCCCCTTGTTTGGTGGTCATAAAGTGACAATACTTCTGAGACCAGATAAATACATGTATTCTAAAGTCACATGTGTAAAAAAAAGTGTCAATATTCCATGTATACCTTTTATGTAATATGCTAAAAAAATATTTGTAGTGAAGTATTATGCTCTGTTTTTATTGCAGATTTGTATGAATTTATATCATAATATGTATGTAAACAAAGTTAGCACCATTTAATTTTTAATTGTTGCTCCTGAATCTATTTCACGAGGCTAATTTTATTATGCGGAACCACCCCTTGGTTCCTTGCAAAGAAGAGAGTAAACTTAAAGCATATATTTCTGTTACAGAAGCAACATGCAGTGTCTTTTTCCATGCCAAAGTAAAATGAACAAATAATACATTTACGACATAAAAAAGCAAGTATTTTGTAGCAACACATCTCTGATTTGGTAGCATATATTTGGATAGGTGTAAAGCTTAACATGGATTCAACATTAAATGCACGCTATAAAATGGGTAGAAAGCTAAAATGGTACATATATCTCCTAAATAAATAATATCAAATTGAGACATTTGGCATCTACAGTAAATAAAAGTGACACCCCATCCATGGAGGGCTAACAGATGATGACTAAAGCAGGCCAAGAAAAAAGTCAAATGCTATATACATAGGTAAGGAAAAAAGCACTTTGAATAACATACCAAAAGATTAAAAATAACATTAAAACACCCCAAGGAATGAAGGAAAAATGCAGCACTTAAACGACATTTAATCTATTGAAACACACACAATGACAGCAATAAATGCAACAGTTTTGAATTTGAAACAATTTTTTTGGAGGGGGGGGGTATGAAAAAGTTGGGTGTTGGCACTGGGTAATACTAGGAGGAAATAATACTGCAAAGATCATCAGAGAAAAATATATTTCTGAATGTACATACATAATAATTTTTGATAACATCCATGTATTCATATTCCTGACTGACTACGTGTGCTAGTAACATGACTTTAAAAGTTTTCATTAGAGAATAAGTACGGAAACATAAAATTAATGCTGTGAATATTACAAGTGCACTATGTCACTGTGGCAAGATTTTGCAAAATGTGAATATCTTTCATCTACATTTAAATACATTCTTCATACAAAATGTATGAACATATCAGAATCCAACCATCATTTGATGAACAATGGACAAGTTTTCACCAAGGATATCAGATACCAAACTATTTCGTTGTTTTACAGTACATGTAATTATAAATCAATGGGAATAAAACTCCCCAGATACAAGTATGACAAATACAGAAAGACAGAATCTTGAGCTAATTGTTGAGGTGGGAGGAATGTGAAGATATATCTACACGTATATGGCTATTATACCAAGCACCATTGAATGCATCGATCTAAATACATGCTTCTAATTCCCTTGTGTTTTTTGCTGTTTGTATTCATTACTCTGTCATGTAGACAGAGCTCGTCTTTAAAAATCCCCGCTGCCTTGTATGGACTACTTGAACATTTCAGCATTTACTGCTGGTGCTGGTCATGTACTGAGTGAAGAGGGGGTGGACCAGGAGTTCCTTGGCTGTGGGTCGCTCCTTCTTCTGCTGCTCCAGACACCGCAGGAGGATGTCCCTGATCGGGGGAGAGAGATTCTCTGGGATCGGAGGGGGCTGCATGGAGGTGGCAATCTGTGAGAGAAAATACAACATAATGTCACCTTTTTTACTTTGATGGGGAATCACACCACATTCATAATAGATATTTTAATCTTTGTATTTAGAAAGGTACTGTAGAAAACCTATCCAGGTGTTAATGATATACTGTATGTATTAAACATAGATTAGAATTACAGTCTAACATTGATACTTTGAAGTCATTGGGATTGAGAAAAATTCTGAGATTTCTGATTATAGTAGGTGAATTGACGGTAAAATACATAAAGAAATTGTACATGTATTAGCTTACTCCAACATTTTTATGGTAAGCATAAGCATCCAAGTTTTAACAGAATTTACCTTAAAAATGAGAGCCAAATGGTTAGAAATATCCTTGGCATTCCAGGGTGGTTTAGTGGTACACATCTCAATGATAACACAGCCCACACTCCAGACATCACAGGCTCTTCCATAATTCTCACCTCGCAGAACCTGAAGTACATGTATAATGTTCATACATAGACTTAATAATCAGAGAAATAGAACTGATGACAGACAGTACTTTTAAATATAAACCATGATTATTTACTATCAATTTGAAATTTCATTCTTTTAGAAAATGGCCCCAAGAAATGAATAATGTAGGTGTGTTGATGAAATTCTTAAAGAATTTCAAGCAGATACAAAATTTATCAGAATACCTCTGGAGCCATGAAGGCTATGGTGCCCAGCAGTTGACCCTGGAATTCCCCTGCCCCTGTAGCCTGAGAGGCCAGTCGAGCAGCCGCCCCAAAGTCGCCAATTCTTAACCTCTGACCAGTGCTGTCCACCAGTAGATTAGCACCTAAACACCAAAACACAGATATAGCCAAAATCATCAATCTCTAAAATATTGAATTATCACTTGTGTTTCTTTCACAATGTTTTACGGTAAGTGTTATATACTGTACCTTTAAGATCCCTGTGGAGAACATGGTTTTCATGGAGATAAGCCAAGCCTCTAAGGATCTGGAGGGTGTAGCTAGTGATGACATTCTCAGAGAAAGCACCATACATTCCCAGGAGGTATGAGATAGAACCACCTTTAAAATACATGCAATCATGTTCTAAATAATGAGACTGATTTTAAATCCTTTCTTTTTGGCAAACAAAAATGCATACCGTATATACTCGCCTATAAATCGGTCCGCCTATAAGTCGGTTGTGCTTAATAAGCTTATATATCAGAGGGACTGACCTCATATAATACCATATTCATTTTATAGCTCGCCTATAAAAAAATCGGACATAAATGTTTTGGACAAGAGATTAAAATTTAAACACAGTATTTAAAAAACTCTGAAATTCCAGGTTTTGTATATACAGTACATTTATATTCTTAATCAACCTGTATAATACAAGAATAAAAATTTACATGTATGCACAAATGTTTATATCTTCTCTACTCATATATTTTTCATGTAAAATTGATAATCCAATATTAACAATAATATTGAAAACTTTTGATTTTGTAGGATATAAAAATCAGAATTAGCCAGTCTCTCCTAAATGCAAAAATGTGAAAATTACACTGGGTAACATCCATTCTGAACGCACACTGTTGGAGATAATTAGAATTGGACAGCTGCACTGGCATTTCTTTTTTAAATAGGCTCCAGGAATTTACATTTTATGAACTATTATCTGGTTCATTTTTTTTTCATTATATACACTATATCCTCTGTTAATAAATTTCCACAATACACTCTCCTACTATAGGTCAGTTTTGCATCGAGAAAAAAAAATGATCTAGCCATGGATACAAAAAATTCACCTGTTTAATATTTGATTTTAATAATTGGAATTTTAAATTTAATCTGTTTGTAAATGCAGTTTTTTACCATTGTAATTTAATGATAATTATTAAAATATTTCTTTACCAGGTTTGTAGATTAATAGTTTTTTTGAAATTTTAGAATATTTCTGAAAAAAAATTTGAATAGTTCCTAATTGATTTGTTTCTGTTGACTGGTTAGATTTATGCTTTATTAGTCTATATCCGTATATATTAAAGTTATATCCTTTTGTAATGATTCACATTAATTCAAACATATAAAGCGAATTCGCAATATAGCGAAGTTAATTTTTGACAAGTTTTACGGTACCAAATAAAAAGTTAAGGAAGCAAATATAACAAAACATGATAAGTTTTCAATAGGTATAACTAAGGTTTTATTATACCGAATTAAATTTTATATACAAATGCTAAAAGTAAATTAAATAAAATCAATTTTTCATTTTTTTTTTAGCTCGCCTATAATGTTGGAAAGTTCGTTATAAAAGATGTAAATTTCATTATATTCTGAATCTTTAACGGGACCTAAAAATTTCAGTGTATGCACAAGTGGTTTATATCTTCTCTACCAGTAATTCCTTGTAATCTATTACTCTGAAAACTTTTGATTTTGTAGGATATAAAAATCAGAATGCTTTAAATGAAAAATGTCATTACCAGGCATCCATTCTACGAACATATTGAAGTGGCAGCCATGGCGGGTGGCTCCCATGATTCTGACAACATTGGGGTGGTTCAGTTTGGTCATCATTATAATTTCCTCTGTTATGGTTTCCACAACACTCTCCTGCTCAGAGCGAGAATTACGACAAAAGGACACCTGTAATTAGGATTTAAATTGAAAGAATACTGTTTGTTGCAGATGTATATTGCATTTCAAAAGTAAGACATATGCTCTTATTCATGTACTTAAAATTAAAATTATTTTGATTGCAGATATTAATTTTTTTTAAGAAGTGATACTAGTATTTTTGTTTGAATTGTGAGAAACAAATCCTCAGAGACAACTTTCTGACTCAATTTTACTTTATGTGTGGATTTAAATATTATGTCATGAATCTGCAAATCTCTTGCATATTTGAGATTTAATTAATGCAAAGACCCTCTACTGATTAAATGTATATTGTATGAATTACCTGTTTGACAGCCATTAGGACCCCTGTCTTGACATCCTTAGCTTGGTAACATGTGCTGTAGGCCCCAGTCCCCAAAAGGGGCCCCTTCATCCAGTGGACGCTCTCGAGGTAAAGTGAGGGACCGTTTCCCTTTGAATCTGTGTGGCGTTCACCATTCTATCAAAACAAGGTATTATGTAAGAAGACAGAATTTAGCTGTTACATTTTAAAATCTAACATTAAACATTCAATGGACAGGTAAAACAATTATGAAGAAGACGAGAGAACAAAAATATTTTGTGTAAATTGAAAAAATTGTAAAAAAAAAAAAAAAAAAAAATTCCACGAAACACTCCTTCTTGTCAAAGTTGCATTAAAAGCTACAGAATAAATATTGAGGAAATGGAGAATTAATATGGTATCTTTTGTGTCCTAAAATGTGTCCTTAAATATACAGACCTCTGGCTGTATCCGGATAGTGATAACCTCCTCCCTATCTGTTGGGGTGAGGCCAGGAACAATTGGTTTGGGAGGATCCAGTGCTGACACCTCCATAGCCTTAGCCAGGGCCAGAGCTTCTTCTCTCTCTACCTCCTCCTTACAGGGGCATTCATCATCCTGTTCTATAAAACACAGACATGCATTATAAGACATGGGTATTTATTCCATCATTTGACAATGGCTACTGTAATTAAATGTTTTAGAATTTCATATATCTTTTTGTTCCACACTTTCTGCTGGCATTAATTATATTTTTAAACAATACACTTGACTTACTTTGTTTAAGGAAATTCACCACTGGCTCCTTAGGAGATGCCACTTCTGATTTGAAAGAAACCGAATGTTCAAGACGAGTTCGGCCTCTGGGTCTTACATCCAGAATTTCATCACTAGATGTTGCTCCCTGTTCTGCTGTAGGGAAATGTCCAAGAGGTCGCACCTTACGTCTGCAAACTCTGTCCAGTGAGTCGTCTGATGATAGGGTCCGTTCATCTGAGGAGAAGCTGGCACTGCCTTGAGCCTCAAAATCATGAGATTCCAGGGGTGGGGGAGAGGGCTCTTTCTTTGGTAGGTCGAGTGATAAAGAAGATTTCTTTGGTAGTTCAAAGGGCTGAGGAGAAGGCAGAGGTCTGTGTTTACAGCCCTCTTTGTTCTCACAGTCACACATTACGAAGGGCTTGTCCTCTGTTGTGCATGGCAGGGGCAGGGATAGTTTATTCCTCTCTGCCGATTCACTGGCACATTTCACCACATCAGGGGGAGGTGGCAGAACAGTCACGTGTGGAGGGAGGGTGGGTGGGGACAAGATTGGCCCTACCTGTAAGATCTCATAACTGCCTTTCCTTGAGAGAGGTCGAGGTGGAATAGGGGGAGGTGTTTTAGGTGGGGGAGTTTGCTCTTTAGGAGATGGACTTTTCCTCACACCTTCTTGTGGTTCTCTGGGTGTTAAGACTAGTTTTGCAGGCTCAAGGCATTCAAGGACCTTTTCTGTTACAGATATAGTTTCTTCCTCTGTTATCTCTCCATTAACACTCTCCTCATTTTTAGAATCATACTTGCACTCTCTGCGAGCTCTAATGGGAGTGTTAGGAGGGACAAGAGGTAGAGATTTTCCTTTGCTGGTGCTACTTGCTTCACTGAGATGATCTGGAGATGCTGATACTGGGGAGTTACATCTGGGTGTAGACTCAGGTGAGGAGTGAGGGGAATTCTCAGGAGTCTCATCTTGAGGAATTTTTTTATTTGTTATCCCATGATGCAATTCATGAACCAGTTTCTCTGACAGATTAAAATCATCAGCAATTCTGGACATTCTTTTCTTCAACGATTTAACTGATGTGGCATCAAGAACAGATAACATTTCCTGCAAATCCTCCATCATGGATTCCAAGTGAATGGAGAATTTAACCACCAGCAGGAAAACCCTTCTTGCCATGCGGCTGACTTTGAGGTGGGAATTTTTGACTAGTTTTATGGCAAAACGTGCAATAGTAAGCAGTCTCTCAGGTGAGGTCATGGCACCCCCATCAGAAGGCTTGGCTCCCAGCAGTGATTCCTCATCAGCTGATTTTCCTTCTGGGGGATTCCTTGGGGATAATTCATTTTGAAACTCCTCAAAGAATCTCTCCAATAAATACAGTCTTCCCAGAAGCCACTGCCATGAAACTGTCTCAGGGTCGAAATCTTCTGTAGCACATCTTATCACATAATCCAGGCTGTCGAAACTTTGAGCCCCTATAAAACAGAATTGAAACTGATAGGTAAAGCAATTAACTATGAAAGAAAATAAAACACAGGCTTTAAGATTTTTTATTTTTGAGACATTTCAGAAGAGAACCATGATTACCTGAGACCTGACTGCCAACACACAGCTCTCCCTCACTTCCTTTGGCAAGTTCCACGAGAGTAGACAAGGACAATTGACTAGTTCTTCTGCAAATATCAAGGAGAAAATGTAACATCCATGTAATAATAACATGACCCTAAATCTTTTAAGAGAGCTTCAATTTGCATTACCTATTGCCATCGGTACATTTGATTATTATGGCATCCACAATAGGTTTTAGGACTCCCTCCAAGCGAGACTTCTGCTTGTCCTCTCTACATGGAATATAGGACAAAACTGTCCGCAGTGTTTTCTGGAATGTAAAAGTGGATTTTAAATATTACCATAACTGCCTATAATTGTGTGTCAATGAATCAAGATATGTAAATAGAGCATAATCAAAAAGGATTTCAAACTTACTAAACATGCGACATAGACTCTGTAGACAGGGTCCCCACACATGAAGGCCAGGATCTGGCAGCAGATTTCTACAGATCTATGGATGTGACTAGCTTTTTCTGGGGATAACATCACCCCACTTTTGCCCTCTCCCATGCCTTTCATCAGCACACCTACTGCCTCCCTACTCAGATGTCGAATCCCTGACTCCCGAATTGACCAGTTACGAGAGAAGAAGCAGGACATCAAATCTTCACCATACATCTGATATAAAAATGCACATTGACAAAAAAAACAATATGTAATAATCATATCACAAAGAAACAATGTTTTAATAACATTTACAGTGTTACAGAGCAAAATTTCATTATTTCTGAACACAGGTTGAGTATACTTGCCTGTATCCATGGTTCTGCCAGAGCCTTGTGTTCCTGGGGAATAGGTTCAGCAAATGGCAGTCTGTCTCTTTCTGGGGGGACACCTTCAGTGTAGGGCAGTGCTCGGTCTGGGGAGGGGGCTCTTGTGTTTGGGGGAACAATTGGCAACTGGGTATCACCTCCAAGATTCCTGAAATAATTTCAACTTATTTTTAACTATGACATTTAAAATTGCTTGGTCATGATTTCTGTTTAAATACTCATTTATGTAGATTTTTTTTTTTATCAAAGAGTGATTTTCCAATCAAACTAGCAGTCTTGCAATTAACTAAAGAATAAAAGCCATGAAAATCAAAGTTTGTTTTCTGTATTCTTATTGTATCTAAGTTGGTATTCTGCATTTTAAATTACTCTGTGTTTATGAATACCATTACTGAGTTTAAGTAGACATGTGGTGTACTCACCCTTTAATTTCAATATCACTACTTTTCCAATCTGCCCTACACAGAGGGCAGATAAGTGGATCATTCTGTCTCCTGCAGAGTTCAAACCCTGAAAGCAGACACATAAATCAAAAGTAAGAAAATGTATCATACTGTATCACACCCCTGTCTGAGTCAAATCATTCTATTAATACACTGTATGTATAAAACTTTTATCTGCCTTTGGTGCATATATTATATATCTTTACAAAACTTACTAGATATATTAAAATTATGAGTTTAACAATACTACAATTAATTAATCAGTAATTAATCAGCGGTCAAGAAACATGTGGCTTGTCATATTTTTGATCGTGGATGTGAAATTGAATTTACAAGTTCAGGCCATGCACCTGACTGATTATTCACATCATGTTCAAAGAAGCTAAGAATTAAGGTCAAATAAAACCAGACACACATACAAAGAGATCCCTACTTATCTATCAATTAAATGACAAACTAATGCAAACTCTGACTTACAAACTGAAATGCAGTGATGATGCAGTCGATTGTGGCAGCCATTTTCACACTTGAGCAGACTCTCTCCTTCTAACATCTCCAACAGACAGATAGGACAGGTGTCATCCTCCTCCTTAACACTTCTGTACATTAAGGAGCATAATTTTGAGAAACAAATTCTAACAAAAGTTAAAATATCACACCAAGCAAGTTTGTTTTATAAGTCCAGAAATTTCTCTATTTTTAAGTTCTGATTGAAATTATGCAATCTTAGGCAAATTAAACCAGACATTTTATGAAAAAATTCAATATTCACTAACACCACCCTGAGAAATATTTCATTCTGAGATAAAAGAATAAGAAAATCACATTAACCCTTCACTTACTCTCCATCTACTTCTGACTGTCCTGGTGTCATGTCAGGGGAAAGAAGATCAGAACTACTCTGTGTCTTGGCTACTTTCACTTCTTTCTTCATTGAGATTCTGGATGACATTTTGTCATGGTATTCTTTGAACAAAGCTTCCACCTACAGTGCAGACCAAAATTTATGTCAGTGTTGGAATCAAGTTGTACTGAGATCTGTGATTACACACCCATAGTTGTATATTTACATGTATGTACTATATGTACTCAATTTTGGTTCTACTTTTACCTCATAGTTTTTCAGCACTTTGCTCAGCAAGCGAGGATCACTTTCTCTGATCTGAAAAACTCTCAGCATAACAAACAAAACATGGACACAGTGAGGGCCCCTGCCACAGGTACAGTTCTGAAAAATACCAAATAGTACACACACAAAAATCAGAAAGCATTTATATTCATTTATATCCTTAAAAAAATGCAATTTCCTAAAATTATTCACTGCTTGCTTTGTTGGTCTTTACTGACCTGTGGTCCTATGATGACCCTGAATTTATGATCAGGTGAATCTCCACCAATCAGAAATGAGTTTGGACCTGACTGTTGAAGTAGATACAGACGAGCTCTCAGGACTTTGGCAATTCTGTTTCTGGTCAGGGCCTGTGACTGTTTAAACTGATGAACAAAGAAAAATAGATAAGCACTCATATGAATAAGAATTTGTTATGTCTGTTTCTTAAAACGCTTTAATTGGAAATAAAATATTTTTTACTTCATCTCTATTCATTTCTAGACATGGAAAAAAAGACACACCATACATTATTCATCTTGTATTAAAATAGAAGAAAAAATAATTACTGTCAAAACTGGTACATGCATGTGAATAATTTCTTTGAAAATCACAAACATTTCCTTTTAATTTTTAAGACATAAAATGTACAAAAGAAAGATGAGAATGGCTATAAAAATACTCACAGAGTTTGAAGGAGACACTTTCTTTTTGACTTGTGCAGAATTAACAACTTGTTGTTGGAATGCCGACTCCAAATTCTTATTAAAAGATTTCTTCCTGTAAATGTTGGTGCCACTCTAAGAAAAGGAAGAAAAGTGCTTTGTTTTTGATTTTGAAGTAAAAATAAGAAAAAGGTAAAGGAGTCACATAATCACTAAAATTAATAAATATGAATTGAATAATTTAAGAGTTACCTGCCCTGCTCCACTTCCATGTCTCTGAAGAATATATAAAAAATATAATTTTAAAAAATCTGCTTTTTTATATGTCATATCATGGTAAGAATTCATTATATACAAAAAGACTTGCTAAACTTAATAAAATTGGGACAAAACAGATAGACGAATACAGCACCAAAATCATAAGATCTTTAGATCTTCAACCAGTACCCTAATATTAAAGAAGGTAAGGATCTACAGAGTCAACTAACCTTAACTGTAATCTTTTTCTTTTCAATTAAATGTCTTTTCCAGGAGGGGATTCTCCTTGGTTTATCAGATTCCCGAAGTTCTTCTAATGTCCTTCTCGTGCTACTGCTCCTAAAAAGAAAATATAATGAAAGATATTTTATTATCGCTGAGTTAAAAAGTAATTTTGATACATGTAGACCTAGTTGTACTAATGAGTGCAACAGAGTCTTTGTATTGGAATAGAAATCAAGTCTGCTATATGACCATGAGAATCAAAATACACTAAAACATTTCTGGCCATCAACAAGAACAACATTCTCCTTCTCTATACATTACTTCCAAAATGTCTTTCTTTTACGTGTGATACTAAAATTTAATCATGACTGACAGAAAACATTCCCATCAGATAAAAATTAAGCAGTAAAATGACATGAAATTGTATAATAACCCTCCAAGAGGAACGAATGCTAAAAATACAAGCAGGAAATTCCAGTAAAAGTGTCTAAAATATCTTTTATAAGTTTAATTTCTTCAATAAGATTTTCGGTTTTATCATATATAGAGTTTTTGCACCCCTTCAAGAGTTATTTGCTCATAATTTAAATCCGGCATTAAGAACTTGTAAAAATGGATGAACGGTATGATAAGATTGCTCTTCTTGTAACAGTATAGTTTATTTATGTTAAAATTGTTAATATTACACATATCTGTTACGCATAATCAAATATATTTTAGAAAAAATGTTAGTTGGAGTGTAGGCTGACACCAGTTATGATTTTACATGTTTTCCAGAGTCAAAACAGGAAGGCTTTAATGCAAAGAGAAGTGGATGTAGGCAAAAGCCTGTCCACTTCTCCAAAGAGAATAGCAGACACGCATGCTTCTTTACTTGGCATCATTTAAAATACATCATAAACCTAAAAAAGAATTTGAAACCAATGATTTTTTTTTATACATAAACCTTATTAATTATTAAAACAATCTATTGATAGTTCTGAACCTATTAACTGTTGCTGATGTTGGTGGCTTGGATTTGTCGGCTGTGAATTTGAACTGGACAGGCTTCAACCTTCTCCTCCAGTCGTGGGGTCCTTGGTACTCTTCATCACTACCCTTGTCTTCCTCCTCATTGTCAGACTGAAACTCCCTCTCTTCTTCACTTGTCATAGTGAAAGGCAACAAGTTGTGGAAAAAACAAAGAAATCATCTCATAACCAATCATGCACTCAACGAAAGAAAGGTTATAAGAAATCGGTAACTTCCAGTCCCTCTTGCATTTTCACATTTATGGAATCAATGTCAGGATTTATCTGTAAATAGAGGCTGGGATTTTAAAGGAAAAACAAAAATTATTAGCTGTCAATTTCGTCCAGAACTATTTACAAACATCTGTTTGACTTAGATCTGTTTATATTCTAGAAAGATGCGTCACACATGAAATCTTAGCTATAACGCTTTCTTTACGGAGTAATAAAAGAATGCGTCCTATAAAACATCCCTCTTCAACAACTAAGGTTCCATACTACTTAAATCCTTGACAAACGTAATGAATATTAAAGATTGAAAAATATCCGAAAAACACATGTACAAGTTACTTACAGCAGGTGCTCGGAATGAAAAGTAAGAATAGATGTTTTCAAACCGAAAAATATTCTTAACGTCTAATAAATAGAACTCTTTTTATGAATTATATATAAATCCAAAATATACTTTATTTATTGTAATATAAATATTTACAACCAATTTAATGCATTAAAAGTTGTAATCAGCTGTGTTCGTTTTATCTTAATAATCGTACTTTTGGATTGTTGTTGACAACGAGTGCCCTCGAGTGGTGGATCAGTGGATGATGAGGTCCTGTGTTTAAATCAGTAAGTGGCATCTGTCTGAGTCATGTTGAAATTCGTTGTTTTAAACTAAAGAGTGTTTAAGATATCTTAAAAATTAAATGCATGACTTTTTATTCACTTCGTTTCATATTTTTTGAGAATAGTGATTGCCGGCATGCCTTCATCTATTCTTGATTCCGATTGTCATAAACCCCTGATTTGAATAGTTTTGCTGTCTTTAGGCATGTTTATAATTTTTTGAACATGGGTTTTCTCCTCAGCATAAATCAACTTAATTGACATGAAGGATAATCGGAAATTTGTTATTCTTCCCGCTTTTTTTAGATCAGGTCCAGTACAATCAGTACATTTAGCTACGTAGGTAGAATTACCTACGTAGCTTTATTTACCTACCTCAGGTAGCTTGATTTAGCTACCAAATGAATTTATTTCTATAAAAAAGCATTTTTCTCAGGATGTGCAAAAACTATCATTTTGATACAGTGACCATTTTCAACTTTGAACTCATCTGAAAACAATTCATGAAAAATTCCCTCTTGAAAAATGTCTTTTTCTGTTGCAATAAAAGTTCTTTTTGGGGCTATGTATGACAGTTAGAACAGTTACTCCTTGAAGGAAATGACAAAGAAATCCAGTTCCGTTTAACACGATAATAGGTCAGTAATCATTCAGCACAATGTGAAGTAATTATACTCAGTCATGCCTCACCGCACGGACAGATAACCAAACAATGGAATTACATGTTTTGCTCTAAATTGACCAAACACAGCGATGTTTAAACTATCTCTGCTTTGGAATATTTTTTTAAGTCTCCCTAGTATAAATATCAATCGTCATTTAACTGCGATTTTTTGTCTCTTTTCCATAAAAAGAAAAGTTACATTGAAATAGCTATATAAAGCTACCTGAGGTAGGTAAATAAAGCTACGTAGGTAATTCTACCTACGTAGCTAAATGTACTGATTGCACTGGACCTGTAGATGAGTAAACCTAGGATCAAGCTGATAATGTAGAATAATCTAATTACTAGTATCATACATTGCACTCCAAAATAAAATTTGATGTGTCAGATGATGAAATTACTGGTACAAGCATACTTTTCTTCATCCTCAGGCTCACAAAGGTCCTGAGGCAACATGCTATGGAACACCAAATTAACATATATTCAAATATTTGTACCTATCTTCAGATAATTGTACCTATCTTCAAATTGTAACGGGAGAGGAGAAAATGCAGCGGACAAGACCGGGATTCGAACCCGGGCCCCCTGAAACTCCGGTCAGGTGCTCTACCAACTGAGCTATCTGGCCACCGGCGATAGAACCCAGCTGCATGACCGCCTCATTCCTCCCTCCTTAAAGGTCTTTGGCCCTCTAAAGACCCCAACCTAGGCTCATCCCTGGCAGGTCTTTCACCTGTCAATTCCAGGGCATGGCATGGCACGGCAGCAAATGTAACGGGAGAGGAGAAAATTCAGTGGACAAGACCGGGATTCGAACCCAGGCCCCCTGAAACTCCGGTTAGGTGCTCTACCAACTGAGCTATCTGGCCACCGGCGATCGAACCCGGCTGACCGCCACAAAATAATTGTACCTATCTTCAAATGAATTGAAGACAGGTACAATTGAATTAAAGATAGGTACAATTGAATTAAAGATAGGTGTAAATAATTATACCTATCTCTAAATAATTATACATAGGTACAAATGAATTATACCTATCTTTTATGGAATTACACCTATCTTCAATTCAATTAAAGATAGGTTCAATTGAATTATACCTATCTCTAATTCATTTGAAGATAGGTATAATTGATTTAAGGATAGATACAATTGATTTGAAGATAGGTTCAAATAAGACATATCCACAAAGGATTTGAAGATAGGTAAAATTCAATTATACCTAGGTTCAATTTGTTTTGTGTTGTTGAAAATAATGAATGCTCCCTTGGAGACAATATTGAACATGGAGGGAAATGCACAGAGCCTACAAAGCGACGACAACGAGGATGAAATGAGAAATAAAGTTAAATTCAAAATGTGCAAAAAGCATCATGTACTTATTAAAATATACATGTATATCGTGTATGTATATCTTGTATGGCAGCCAGATGAATATTCCGATAAACGAAACTTTTGCGCCAGCTCTGGCATACCGGAAATGACGCATGATAAAGGGAGTAGTTATTATTGCCAATATCTTAGTAATTAAAGATATAGGTTCAATTCAGTTGTACCTATCTTTAAATCATTTATACCCATCTTCAATTCTTTGCATTTGTACCTATCTTCAAATGAATTGTACCTATCTTCAAATGAATTAAAGATAAGTATAATTGAATTGTACCTATCTCTAATTCATTTGAAGATAGGTACAATTCATTTGAAGATATAGGTACAATTCATTTGAAGATATAGGTACAATTATTTGAAGATAGGTACAAAGATTCGAATATATGTAAATTTGGGGTTCCATAACATGCTGTGTTGGACCCCAAATAAATTTCATTTAATACTTAATGGGCTGAATGTAGTAACATATTTTGAAGAAAATACAAATCTTCATAGTTTTTCTAATCTCTTAAACCAATCACATTAATCTCGGTGCATCTATTTACCCAAAAGAACCCAAAAGGAACCCAAAAGGAAACCAAAAGGACCCAAAAAGGAAATATTAAAAACAATCCAAAAGGACTTGAAATAAAGAGAATAAATGGATATTCAATGAACACTTTCATATTTTTTGAAAAATAAAACTAGTTTGTTGTTGTTGTTTTGTTTTTTTTTGGGGGGGGGGGGGTCCCCCACCCCACCACCGATACCACATGCCTAGAACAAGTCATAAAATAAAACTTATTTCTTCATTAAATATCATATAGTAAGATATGGTAAAATACAAGGAGATATATGATAATACTTTGTTATTTTCAGCTAAAATAAAACAATTAAAGCATATCTGACTAGATTTGGTGTTTGATGTGCTATATAAGATGTATGTTATTCTGAAATAAAAGTTGCAACAATATAAGTTAATGTTTTTGCCAACTTTTATGTTAACTTAAAATACACACATGTATAATATTCATAATTTAATTCAAATTATTAATTTTCAGTACCAGGTATATTCATAATACATTTATTTTGAGTCCTTTTGGCTCCTTTTGGGTTCTTTTGAGTCCTTTTGGGTAAATTGACACACCCCATTAATCTTTTTTGTTGTTTGGACTGCTTGGTCCGATTGGTGCTTCTAAATGGAGGAAGCAAGTCTTTAGTATGATATTGAGCAAAAATTTGTTGAGGTCCAACGAATGTGTTTACTCATGAACCCAGATGTTGTCAGTATGACTTTTTTTTTTTACTTTCAATTGATAATAAGTAAAATCCAAGGCCTCTCAGTCTCAGTTGTTGGTCCGCAATCTTATTTTGCATACATCTCATACACTGATTCTGGGTATTTTGACTAGTATTTTTTTATGGTTTCAAATTAACTTATTTACTAATACCTGTATAACTATAAAATTTTTACTATGGTCCTTCATCAAATCTAGGAGATGCTTAACCAAGTGTTTCGAAACACTTATTATTATATAATATTGCAACTTTATTTAGCGTATGAAATTATGATAGTTTCTCTCTGACCAAACAATCTGAGATGCTTGACCAATATACATGTATATGTAATATATGAGAACAGTTTTGTCATGGAGTGTCTTATTTCAAAAATCTTTTAGAAGGCTTTTTGTCCAATCTAGAGGATATTTTCTCCAATTTTTATTGACTAATATTTGGGGATAGTTTTGTTGGAGGGAGAGGGAGGAGGGGGTTCACTGGCACCTCAAATGCAAGTTAAGATCTCGGTCTCTATCCAGAGTTATTGTTCCCGCTACACTCCCACGTACACCTCTGTAAATGCTTTATATACAAGATTCTTTGAAATTTGTACATGATGACAAATTGTTTTAATTATCATATTCAATAATTATATTTCTTCAAAACCGGTAAACAGGGTTTATTATAATTACTCTATTACCTCTTTATTAATACATGTATTAAACTTCTTATTAATAACATTTACTCATCAAAATAGTGAACCTAAAACTTTAGAGAAATGATAATTTTCATCTTTATCAATAATTACAAAAATTAATTACAACCACCATTTAAAACTTGTACAAGAATCTTAAAAATTAGATTTACAGGGGTGTAGGAAGCATATATAAAAGATAAACAATTCTTGATAGAGTCAATCAATTATGCGTTGTAATGAATATTGTTTTAAAAGAAGGTGCCTTTAAACTTTTCATATTCTTAAGTTTATCATCACCCTTCACAAAAATTGTCTGATTGTTGGGCATTAGCATGTACTCTTTTTTTCAATTCTGACACTTGAACAATGGAGACTTTCTGAAATCCTCGCATTTGATATTAATGTCACAGTTGTAAGAATAAATAAACTATTGCTGCTAATTACACGTTTATAATTTTGTCAGTTGGCATTTATTAAATGTATAGAATTAATTTTATTTGTTGGACTCCTTCTTGTGGGCTAGATGATTTCCTGTACTTAACAATTACTTTTCTTTGATAGTAATAGTCTACATTGTATATATGTGTCTGTAATATCAGTAATTAAATGGTAATGTTACAAGAATGCCAATGCCAACACTGAACAATTTAAAAATTCTTTTAGCCATTAATCTTCATCCAACCTAATAACTTAAAAAGAGCATTACGACAGAATCAATTTAAAAGAGGCTAGCTATGAAAATTAATAATCAATTCAGCTGTCCATTTAAGTGACAAAAATTTCAGATTTCATGCACATTTAAATGAAATTTTATGAGTAAATGATTTTATTGCCTTTCTGGATGTTGATAAGGTGAGCTATTACTTTATTCATACAGTAAGAATAAGGTGGCATTGAATTCTTGGCAATATGACAGACCAAATATATCTATTGGAATTATTTCATTGTAACATGATATGCAACATGTAGCTGGTACAATATATTTCTTTGATTGTTGCAGCATTTATTTCATATTTCCTCTAAGATTTTGAAAAAAAGGTATTTCAATAGGACTTGAATTGGTAGATATATATTCTTTATTTCTATTTGCATTTGGTAAAGGGAAACTTGTAAGTATTTAAAAGTAGAAGTCTTTGATTTTTCTTAACTTTCAATTTCAATTTCAATTTTTTTTTTTTTTTTATAAATAATTTTAATCTAGCGTAAATGTTTGACTGCTACAATTGCTAATGATTATTTTTTAAAATTAGTCATTAGAGTAAATCTTAACCTTGTAATTCAATTCATATCCAAGGTGCATGCATTTTATAAATCACCAACACAATTTTGCCTTTCCTTAATCTTAAAACTGATTATAAAAACAAATGCAATCTTATTTTAGAATAGAAAAGAAAATATTCCAAGAACTAGATCAAAAAATCTGATCCGAAGGATAGGTCTAGTTGGCAAGTTTTAAATGGAAGATTCCTTTGGTCAATCTTTTGGTAAAGACCTTGTACTGGATGAATAGTCACAGCCAGACCTTTATATCACCATATCTAAGTAATATTAAACTTTTTTATCTTTAAAGTTCTGAGGAATCAATTGGAGTTTTATAGAACCTTTTGATAGCAGGTGCTCTGGAAATGGGTGACCTAAGTTGAAGAGGGAGATTAAGTCTATCAAGATTGCACTGGAAGTGAGTGCACATTAGTGACAACAAGTGGCCAATAAATTTTCTCTCTTAATGTATTTAAGTCTGCAAAGTAAATTTCTCATTGTGCTATTGGATTAAATCCCATTACTTTGTTCTGTTCTAAGAGATTTGAGCAAATTAAACAAACATCCAGTGGGAACATTTTAATCCGTCTACTCGTCACTTGGTGCTGGCAAAAGTTTATGTACAAAGTAACTTGGTGAGTATGAGAGTCATAATTTATTCAACCATTATATTCAGAAACAATTTATGGAATAAAAAACTAAATAAAGATCTTTGTATTTCAATTGCGTATATGAAAAATCCATCTGTGTCCATGCATATATCATAAACCGGTACATTTAAGATAAAAATAATTGGGATTTATTTAAAAACAAACTTGAAAAAAAGTAAAATGACTCAGGGGAATATTTATTCTTCAGAGATAAGATGACATTATTGTCAACATTTTCGTTTAGAAATTTGTGGAAGCCGGTATAAATGTAGACAATTGTTTTCTAAAGAAGAACATGACAATTTGACACGGAGGTACACATATTGACGCGATCGAAGTGTTTGATCACCCTGGAAAATAAATACTGGAAACCTCTCTATGACAGGGCTAGATTACAAGTCTGTAGAATTAACAAATCATTGAAAATTTTACCTTCTTTTTCTTCTAAGCATTCCTGTGATACCGGTCTTTGTGATAGACACATTTCTGTTCTGTGCAGACATATAATTAAAGAAACTTAGGTTGTTAGCTTAGGTCATAGCTAACGTGAAACATTGAGAGGTGATAGGAACATTGCTAAATGGAGACTTCTCGGAATTAGACTAAGCAAGCTGTTAATGCTCTTTGAAATCTGTCATTTTACTTGTTTTGTGGAGATTTGTTGTTAGATTGGTTTCCATGTACTTTATAGAGACGCAGATCTTGTGTGATAAAAGGTTTGGTTCTCTGAATGTGCTAATGATGATCATTGACAAGATCATGATGTTTTAATATTATAAGTGTAAATGAAAATAATTTTCTAAAGACATTATTGATCAAGCAAATGTTTGACAAGATTTGTGATGGCATAAAATGAAAAGAAACATATACAGGTATTTTGGACAAACCGTAATGCCACCCTACCTGTAAATATTTTAACACTGCTTAGAGCAACCAATATGTTCTGTAAATTTATTTTTTATTTCATGGAAGGCCATAATGTAAAATATTTTGATTTAGTAAAAATATTTCCATTTATTTGTGCAGTCATTTTCTATACTTTTAATTTGACACAACATATGGATATTATTTCAAATTGCAATAGTCCTGTAGGGATAGAGTGATTTAGGATATTGCTCACATTGTATAAAAGCAATGTGTATTAAAGGTTATAATCATTCACTATTGATGCCTCTTTTGGTAATTTTTATATTATCAATATTGACATTTTAAATGAACATGCAAACAGTAACTGTCTACGTACATAAAACTAATTGATCACAAATGCTGCCACAATGTTATTTAGTGTGCTTTATCTAGACATTTTGTAAGCAGGTCTACGTACGGACTTTTAAATGTAATTTGTAAAAATTTGCATATTTTGATAAACATCTTGGAAGACAAATTGGAGCATTTTCTCCAAAGCATTTTATATCAGAGTTTTGCATCATTTGGAGCCTTGCAATGAATTCTAAAAACTAGCGTATGTATAAAATGCAGCATATATCAAGTATACAACTAGTAGGATCTAATATTCACATTCTGCAATTGTTACAGTGAATATTTCATTATTATTTTTGGTAGATGAGTTGTGGTGTCTTCCAGTAGTGACAGGACCTCATAGGAAGCGGTTACCACATCAGACACCACCATGACACAGCGGTATCTAGCGGCCCTGGACTACGCCGATTACAATGCCAGACAGATTCTCCGCAAACATGCAAAGGTGAGCTTCCCTACATAAAACATCAAAGAATTTCTCAATTACAGGGTAACCTTCTTACTGTATATACATATAGGGTCTTACTGATGAATAAAATATCAACAAATCTGGGGTCCATATAAAGACAAACTGGGGGACAAATTATCAGTAAGACAAGCTGCAACCCTGTGCATTTTTTCTTTATTCCATATTTCTATGACTGTATACTTTGGATTATAAATATGTAAATGCCTATTCTTCCATACTTGCAATTTTATAACAAATGTTAGACTTTGAGCTGTTGGATGCTATTGTATATAAGCCTTAAATTGCAATAATACTGGTAGTCCACAGGCAAAAATGTCTTTTATGTCAATTCAATCCCAGATCTTACCATCTCTGTGGTTTATGAGGTGCAAGTAAGTCAGAAAGTAAAATATCAGTGGACAACCAAGACGTAGTTTCCAGAGAATGGTCAGTGTTTATAAAAGGAGGGATTAGAGTTTCCTTCCAACAGGTAAAATTTTTCAACAGAGTCCTGTAACATTTTAGACAATAACTTCAGTGCATAATTGAATGCACAAGCAGTTGATTGCATATATGCTGACGTTGAGATGAATGTCAAAGGCTTGGTGTAAAATGTTCCACAAAACTCCAAAATGGAGGGTCAGAGAGTGCAAGGGGTGGAGCCTCTTGTGTCAGTTTTTATGCATTTGCCCGTTTTATCTTTCAAACATTTTAGAAGCTGGATACAACTGGGTTGCTTGTAGAGCTCTCCATCGGTGATAAAAAGTGTCTGTCAGAATTAATTACTGAGTGTAGATACTGGTATGTCCCAAAAATTTTATTGCAGATAATTATGTCATGCATAACATATAGCAGATCACTTTGTCTGCAAATTATCAACAATTAAAAAGTATATTTCACATTGCTGTAAAAGCTGCTAAAGCTTCTGTATGTGTAAACCACAAAAAGAAGATACAATTAAATTACAACTGAAAATGAAATTTAGCACAAAAAAGATAACATGACTTTCAATTATATCAACAACAAATGAGGGGACAATATTTTGTCATCTTTCCCTAGAAGTTTAGGTAATCTAGCCCTTAGCAATTTTAACATTTGGCCCTTCAGATATTTGATACCTATACTAATAAAATCTGTCAAGACCTCATGGGTTACTGCAAGATAGCAGTGTGAATCAGACAGTTTCCATTGCACTTAGCATCTGTGATATCGCAAAACAAAATTTAAATCACAAGCACGGCTGCATGCCCCTCATTTGTTTCTCATATCTGCAGGTCATTTCGATTCTCATTTTGTTGTCTCTTTATCATGATGCTTGTTTCTCATTCTTTTTAGAGCAAAAAAATAAAATAAAATAAAAACAGTTAATGGCCAGAGTTCTCCAATAAAACAATCAGTTCATTTACTGAATCTATTATTTAATTATTTTTAATTTTTCTAAAATGGGATAATATTTCTGAGTGAATAATGACATCACGGCACATTTCCAACATCGGACATTGCTTCGACAGCAATCAGATTTCAGATGGTAATAGGTGTTTTGTAATGAGGCCGATATTCCTTGACACCTTTATATACATATCAGTCTATTTATATATATCTGTATATAATATCACCAAAAGATAATAATTTTGATGCTATTCTGTTTCACAGTCTCTGTTATCGTTAAAAATTAAATAATCAGCAAAGCTGTTCCCCTCGTTGAAATGTGGTGTTCATTATTTTTTTTTATTACTGTTGCTGTTTCTTTGTTTCTCATGTAGTATTTTATGGACTTTATAAACAAATGTCATCAGATACTGTCAAATGGTCATCACAAAATCAGGTTGGATCGAGATATAACTGAGTTTCATTCACTCAGCTTCAATGAAATTATTTTTTTTAATTGTTTGGGTGATGTAACACTCTAACACATTCTCACGGGGTATCAGAAAATGAGATGACAGATCTAATAAGCACGTGCTAAATTTACGACAGGCACTATGCTCCACCTCCTGCATCATCTTACACAAGAGGCTCCACCCCCTTGCACTCTTTGACCCTCCATTTTGGAGATTTGTGGAGACTCCATCCTCCGCATTTTACACCAAGCCGAATGTCAAATGCATGTTTTTCTTTGTAACTCTGCATGTATATATTGTACCTAATGTCTGTCTTTGATTTTGGTTGACAATGGTCCTGTTCCCACCTGTGTTTGGAATATGAGATCCTATCTCTTTATGGAGCTTAAAACAATTCATGCTGACTATGTAATACACTATCATGTACCCAAATAGAACTGTCAGGCCAGGATCATAATCGACAAACAAATCAGTGTATGGTGGCACTACCCAACACTCGCCACATTTGTATCATTGTTAGGTGATCATTTTGTACTTGAGTTCAGGGACTGGATGTACTATGCCCCATTCTGGTATGTTCTAATGGATATTTTTATGAAAAAATTCTGCAAGTAGAATTTCTCATTTGGTGCAGCATGTTTATAAATAATACATATCTATTACCAGATGTGCATTTTCGATTTTGTGTATTGGATGAGATAGTGGAAGGAAAAATACTTTACTGTATCACTATACATGGAATAAGTATATTTTCACATTAGCAAGTGTTGCATGATTAATCAGGTATTTAAGTGCTTAATGGTGTATGTTTTGGACTTTTTAGGTAAGTTTCCATGCATTGTGTTTGATTTGTCATTGTCACTGTTTGAGGAAAAACCCACAGGTATTTACCAGAGAGAGGTCAAAGACAATTCAGAATTAAGGATTAAATGGATTTTTTCATGAAACTATTTGCACTGTGTATTTATTTGCTGATACATTGTACACATTGGAGGTGTTATATCTGCAAGGGTTAATTTTCACTTTGATCGGAATAAAGTAGAGCAATTGTCCTCGATCAAAAGTTTAATACACAGATTCCAGAGTAGACAGTTTAATATTTGAATTACATTATATTGTACATACTTTATCCGTCTATAAAATTAAGAGTTATTTATACAAAGCAATATAGATCGACTCCCCAAAACTTTTCTTTTTCATTTCAATCTGGATTGATCAATGTACAAGCATTATTAAATTGTTTGATCTTTCTTTTTATTAAAGCTTGAAAGAGATTATTGTAAATTATTTCTTTTATTAATGTCTCTGTTGTGCATTTTATTCAAGTGATAAAATACGAGGGGAAAGGATATATTGATCTGGAATTTAAGGAAAAAAAGTCATATAGAAAGAGATGGTAAATCCTTAGTACCGGTAATGATTTCCCATATAGTGAGAGTCCATATGTTTTGGGGTCTTGGTTTTGTCTCTTAATCTCCTGTCTGCGTAAACTTAAAGATTCTCTTCTATGGGCTGATTTCAAACTTATCAACTCAAGACAAAATCACAAAATAATATTTAAAAATTGTTTAAAAAATTTTAATTAAATTTTTTTGGGGTATCTGGAGCAATTTCTTCAAATATATATATTCTACCTTTTTTGAATGCCAGCATGATGTCTCAAGAAGCATTTAGGGCAACGAAAATTAATGAAATGTCTCATGAATGCTTAATTTGTCATGAAGGAGAGCAGTTAGCCTATTGAATTTTCTCTTTAAAACCCGTATGCATTTAATGATCAGGAAAATATAATTGGTTTAAAATGAAATTCAAATTGAAAAGGCGTCTTCATTTGTGTAAGCAGTGACTTACTAAAACATTGTATTGTATCCAAATATTACACCAAGATAATGGACAAACTTGCCAAAGAATCTCTCATTTACCAAAGTAAGCTTTCCATTAAAAAGTTTAAAAAATCTTTCCAGCTTAGTTTGGGTGTCAGATGTAAATTGAATGAGAGATTTTTACTTCTGCTTTAAATACTTGAGTGGAGTAGTTTGAGATTTGCAATGCATTATGTCAATATTGTTATGTGTAATGTGGAGGACCAGTGATAAGGGCAGGCCTATTCAGTTCCCCTCAAAGCTTTTAATTTACCAACCAGAGATTGTCTCTAATCATTCCCATATATAAGTTGTGTGGACTGATTTGTCAAAGAGAGTATTTATCTTTGTGCAGCAGCATTGAGCAAACATTAAGTTCCAAGCAACACAGAAAACCTCTAATTTGGAGTGAAGTTTATGTTTCAATTTTCCAGTGACACTTAAGTGACAACATTTTTCATACCTATTTGCCTACAACATTTGTAAGTTTTTTAATTCATTTGCTTTGTTGGCAGTGCTGCTTTTTTTCAGAAAAATTATTGATATTATAAATGCATTTAGGCTCTCAGGTTGATGCATGCCATAATTGGCAATTTAAACCCGATGATTTGAACTTTTCAAGACTGTTGAGGAAATTTGAATTAAGATATCTGAAAGTTTAAGATATCAAAATTTAGATTAAAATTCAAAGTTTGTTGTAAGTGATACTACAATTTAATTGTAAAATGTTTTACAATATGCTGTATTTTTTTCTTTTAAATAATGATTGAGAATAATTTATTATTGTACCAAGATTTCTTCACTTTACTGATGTAAAGCACACATCTTTCAATGGTTACATTCCTAGGTCAATTGCTCCATATTTTTGACAATTACAATTGGGTAGAATGCGTTTTTTTTTTTTTTGTACACCAAATGATTTATCAGATGTGATGTTTTTTGTTGACTTAATTAATGGAAATATCTAATAGTTATTTACTTCAATAGATGTGATGGTTAATGCTAGTATATTTAATTACCAGAATAGCTTTTAAATGATGTTATTTATAGACATTGATTGAAACTTGTGCAAAATTTACAAATAAACTCTGATACAACAATCATTGATAGGGGCAAAAAATTTGCACATGAGTGCTTATACAATTAAGTTACTAATCAATGTGTTGTGAACAGTGTTATATGAATGAAAGCTTTATAAGATATAGTTCAGTGCCTCTGTAATTAAATAAATTTTGTTTGAAAATGGCATCAGGCAATCGACTCCAACATTACCTGAGAAATTATAGGTAACGTAATATTAGAGAGTAAGTAACTGAGCAGATAAATACTGCCATTAATTTAATTCATTCTGCTGTTAGAAAGGTTTGCAATTTGATCCTTCAGAGGAAGTCCTCAAATTTCTGTGTTTTCAGATGATTCTAATAAAGAACTTTATCCGGTTATAACCAATATATGCCCCCCAAATCAAACTTTGATGGAGATATATTTAATTAAGTTCTTAAACAGGGGAGTATATGCTGACTTCAAAGCACTGAATATTTTCATAAGTAATGATGCCATATGTACGTAATGACGTCATAAACATGACGTAAATTTCAGTTTTTTATGAATTTTACAGAAAAATGTACATATTTCGTCGATATTTTGAGTAAAAGTCACCGAGCGCATGTGTGTTCAGGATCAATATTTTGATATAATGTGTAGAATGATAATATCAATGAAATATGTCAATATTGTTCCTGAACAAACTTGCGCTCTATAAATTTTAAAGCTAAAATTGTTGAAATTTTGTCCATTTCATCCTCTTTCTGAAAAAGGATATAAATCGGACTAGTTTGTGACGTCATAAAAACAAAAATTGTGAATACACTGCTATGACACTATAATATTTTCTTTTAATTTATATTTCTCATACAATTTATTGAATTCAGCACATTTCAGGAAGTTTTCAAAAGTTGACTATTGTGGGGGCAAATATATGCAATATACCGCATATAGTTCTTTGCATTTACCAAATATTGTCAAAATGGAATACATTGGTTAATTTTGTTTTTTGGGGGACTTCTGCTGAATTTCAGAACTCAATCTGCATAAAACTGGATTATTGCAATATTATGATAATCTGTTAATACAAAGTTGTTTTTTAAAAATAATTGGTGTACACAAAAGATACTCTTTCATTAAATCATGGGATATGTTTGACTTTTACCAAATAAATGAAAAGTGTATTTCTCATGCCTATAATTTATCTGCATCTCTTACCAAGAGGTTTTTTGATGCAAATTTGAATAAATCTCATGCACTGTCTACCACAGAACTGGTATCATATATTTATAAGTACTACAAACATTGTAAAACCAGAAGTCTCTGTGGAGACTGTAGCTTTACTGATTTGCACATTTTTTTAAGAAAGGAAGAGAAAAGTAGGACTTGGACTTGAAACTTTAACAGCAGTAATGAATAGAATAGAATAGTTTCTGACCATTTTAGCTAAATTTGTATACCTGGTAATTTTAAATTTGTGTTTTGATTGTTTAGCGTAGAATTGAATCTTCCTTTTACAGAAGCGCCCTCTGGGAGAGATTGAACTTCGACACCGATACACTCCAGCTCAGCCCGTTTTGTCCTGTCGGACGGTCAACATTGACGTCAGCGGAACACGGACATACCGACCCAGATCCACCACAGACATAATACAGGAACAGCATCAACTCATTCACTCACTGTACACTAAAAGGTAAAGTAAAATAATTTATTCTACTATAGTTTTCTAGGGATTCTTTGCACAAAAAAGGAATAGGCAAATTAGAGGTAACCTTGTGCTCAAAAATGAATCTTGAACTTAAATGGTCTGAAGAGTTTGTTGGTGAAATGAAAATAAATTTTCCTTTTTACAATTAAAATTGAATTCACTTATCATTTCATTGTTGAACAATTACTTTCTATTGTTTTATTTCTTGGGGAAAAAGTTTCTTGTATTCATGTTATTTTTAAATGTTAGATCTGTTGCATCAGCACCCCCAAGACGAAGCCTTCCAACTCAAAACAGCAATAGAAAAGTCCAGAGAATAAATAGTGAGTGTCTAAAAGAGCCTTACAGAGTCTTAAACATACAAGTATGATTGTCTGAACTTTCTGATTATAAGTAACTTTGGTTTATTTTCTTTCCTCAGTTCAGGTAACTGGTCAGCCATTGTCAGCTCAGTCCCAGAATCAACTTCCACTCAGAAAAAAGTCCATCACAAAAAAGCCCAAACCCAATGGTAAGCTTCCGCACTCTCAATAGAGATATTATTTTTAAGATTTATTCCTTAGATGCCCATTGGGGGCTCCGACTCTGTGAATGGGCCTTAAATTTTTTTCTGTTTGCTCAGAGCAAATATATGTCTCTTTCCCATGACCTAATTTTTTGTTATAAATCAACCATACAATGTTCCTAGAGAATATATTTGTTGTGACCTTGAGCCATATGATTCTGACTCAAATGTCAAGGTCAACATGGAACATTGAAGAATGCTCTCTCTTACAAACTTGACCTATACAAGTGTCATTGTGAGATAATCTAAAAATTTAAATTTTCAGGGAGGGCCAAGAGTGCTCCCTCTTAAAAAATTAACCATAGCTATACCTTTAATTGTGAGATCTTTTAAAAACTGACATTTTCAGGCAGGGCCAAGAGTGCTCCCTCTTACAAAGTAGTGCGATGGAGTGATGACCATGACCTACTGATGACGAGTCGATCGACAAAGGCCTTAACATCTGAAATCCACCAGCAATGGCAGCCAGAGAATCATGACCTCAGCTCTGGGGTCTTTGTCCGGGGACAGAGTAAAGCAGAGGCCCCTAATAGCCTTGACACATGGCTAACTTTTGGGGGATCTGCACTTGCAGGAGAAACTCCTGGGGGAATAATTGATGCCTTTGCACGTAAGTCTTGAACATAAAGTTCTACAAATGAAGAGCATTCAAAAACATAATTTCTGTGTTGTTGAAGAGGTGTAAAAATTATTTCAATATCCATGATGAGTATAATTAATATTATACAGTTATTGACTGGGTATGAGGGCAACATATGATTTGTTGGACCTGAAGGTGAAAATGTTGCCCGAGGCGGCAAATTATTTCAATATCCATGCTGAGTATGATTAATATTATACAGTTATTGACTGGGTATGAGGGCAACATATGATTTGTTGGACCTGAAGGTGAAAATGTTGCCAACATTTTCACCTTCATGTCCAACAAATCATATGTTGCCCTCATACCCAGTCAATAACTGTTTTGTTATACCCATCAGTGCTCACTTAAGATTTAATCAATACACACTATATTATCAATTACTATTACTTTATATGGAAAATTATGGCTTATTCAGTAAATATAAAAGTATAGCTGAGAAAGAATAAAATTAATTATATTTTTATTATATCACAAAAATTATTTATAACAAAACATACTCTCCCCTTCTTCCTTACCTTGCTGGTAGCAACAACTCTTGCAGCTCTTAACTTCAGCTATTTCCCTGTTGCCGATATTGAACGATGATTAGTTAACTGTGACGTAGCAGTGACGTTGCGGTCTAACAATTCCTATGTTGGACCGGCAGGCCAGTCAACAGTGAAATTGTTAGACCGATGTAATAAACATTTCTTTTGTTGGACTTTTTATTAGTAATAAATATACAGAAAGCTATTTATAAGGGTATAACAAATCAATATGATTATTAAAAGTTTTATCTTGAACAATGTTATCTTTCAAATAAATAATAACTTTTCCAAGTCCAGATGGCATGTCATTACCTTTTTCATGTTTTGTATTGACAGAATTCAAGGATAGTGGAGATTTTTACAGTGTAGAGGGGGGAGTGGGGAGTAGAATTGCCCAACAACTACAGAAAGGGGACCGAGTCAGAATAGGAATTAATGGCCGCCCCCAGACTCATCATCTGAGACTCAAACAGAGATGTCTTAGTGAGGAAGTGTAAGTCAGCAGAGAGAAAGAAATTATTAATTCACAGGAAGAGGAAGAGCATATTTTGTTAGGTAAAGAATTTCTTTTTTTCACTTTTAGAATTGAAGAAGAACCACAGACTCAAATGGATAGAAAGCCAGTTGTTCCTTTGTGTTGGAATGACCAAATAAATCAACCTACTGCAAAAGTTATTTCCCCTAGATCACGGAACAATGATCAACCTAGACCTGTAAGTTACTGGGTATATACAGTGTCAGTAAGAGTTCATTCCCTTGTGTAATATTTAAGAAAAAAAAATAGTGTTAAAAGTATCTTTATAAAAAATATATGATTTTGATCCATTATTAACAATATTTGAAACAATTTAAAATTAAGAATAACTTTGTTTTTATGAAAACTTTTCAAAATATGATTTTCAGCTTATTAGAATTCAGAAGTTGTAAACATAGCTTAGTTATTGCTTACTGTAAGTACAGTTATACCAAAAATTAGAAATTATGTTTCTGGTTTTCTCTTATTTTATATTTACTAAATATTTATTCCTCCAAGTTTTTACTAAATCTTATTTCCCACACTTTTGGAAAAGGTTCATACATCCTTATAGTTGTTTCCCCTTTCTGTGGATGAAATAGTCATCAAAATTAATTCTTGGGATTTGGTTTGCTTAAGTTATATAACAAACATGCATTTAGTTATTAATAGCATGAATATCTATTTGTTGTTTTTATGTAATTGCATATTGATTAGACAATGCTTACTGTGGAATCTTTATTGTTCATTAGGGACCAATATGTTTGTAGATTTCTTGGGTCACCCTTACCCAAAACTTTATCAACATAACTTTATCGATATATTCATTTATTGAATCCTTTATATTTGAAAAATACCTATGAAATAACATTCCCACAAACCATTTAAATTTTGATTGCCTTTGAAAATTGGCCTCCATGGATTAAAATGATTCCACAGTATTGATAAATCACAAGAGGTTGTGAATTTCATTTGTACTTCATATTATATAGAATTTTAAAAATGGTCAATTGTTATGAATTTCCAAATTAAGTTAATTTTGAAATGTTAGTAACTTCTTTGTTGTTGCTTTCTGTTTTCCAGAATCTTTGTGAAACTCATCCTGTAATATTTAGTCATCCGGAAGAAAATAAAACCCGTCCTAAGCTGGCCTCCCCCTCTCACGAGGGTTACAAAGTCCGACAACGACCCAAATCAGGACCAGGTCTGGATGGCCATGATCAGCAAAATAAAATCGTAGTTCTATCCATCGACCCCAGTGACGACGAGGACCGCCTCCAATCCCTGACAGTGGACGACGTGCTCAAACATTCCATCAGTGCCAAAAACACTCCCAGACAGGAGGGCTCCAAAAAGGAGTCTCCCACAGAAAACAGTGATTCTCCCCCGTTAGATTCTGTGTCTGAACCCGATGACATTGATCGCAGTCAAAGTAAGACTAGTGGAGCTGAATCTCATGTGAGCAGCAATAGTGAACCATCAAAGACTCCCAAATTCAAAGCTGTTACCCCCTCTTTTACAATGCAGCCATATGCGGTTGCTGACCTTTCGGTAGGGCCACCTTCTGGTTCATTTGTAAGATCTCAAAGTGAATTAAGTGCTAGATCTGTAGCCTCTAGTCGGGCGGGAAGTGATAGGTCTCTGAGTAGGAACAGTGATAGAGCTAGTGCAAAACACATGTATAAACCAGGCTCCAGTAAACCAATCAGGGTCAGCAGCCCTGCCTCATTTGCTGTGTATGGAACAAAAGGAGAAACGGAATTCATTCAGATTTCCACACAGATCAGAAATCCTAATCCAAGAGAAAACTCTGTCAACAAGAATTCGGAGGGATTCATTACACAGACAGCTAGCGAGGAGGCCATACGTCAGGTGACAAAGCAGAATAAAGCTGAGGAGAGAACCACGCCTCGAGTAACCCCCGCCCCGGCGTCCTCCCCTGAGCCCTCAGAACAGCTCTCCGCCGCCGCTACTCAGGTGGCCATTAATATACCTACAGCAGAAGACTTTTCTGATCGGGACTCCATGATGACATCACCCTGGCCTACCAATCGTCATGACAACAAAGATGTGGAGAGGATAACGACTCTGATGGAAGATACTGCAGTGGAACGAGAAACTTCTCAGAAATCAGTCAAGTTCAAAGTTGATAAATAAAATCCACTGTCTAGACTGTAAATTTATTTTGATCTTTGTCTGATCAGGGACATTTTAAACTTGATATCAAATTTGAAGCCATCCAATCGATATTCATACAATAATCATATTGTATATGAAATCTTTTTGCTCACAAATCTGAATTTATCTCCCTTTGAGGAGCGCATTGTACTTTACTTAATTTTTTGGAATATACATTTATATATTTTTAAAGATGTGATTCTTGAATTTTTTTTTCAATTATCTATGCAGAAAGGTACCATTTAAATAATTTCCTTTGTGTGTGTTGTGAAGTCTAAATAATCAGGGATACATGTTGTCAAACTGTCCTGTTAGGTAGTGTTTTAAAGTTGTTGATTTGTCCTGAACAATTAATGACCCTTAGTTTGCATTTGTCAATCCTTAATTAGCTGAAGTGGGTTCATCTTAATTAGCAAGCTTTATAAAATATGCAGATAAATGTGAAAGGTATAACAAAACATTCATTGACTGGGTTGTTGGAGAGAAAGTGTTTTTCTAAATCGCTTCAAATCAAATGCTGCCTTAATGGCCTCACACAAATAGCAGTTTGGTTTTTGGTCATACAAAACATCTTGCTCTTCAACACCATTAAATATGTGTATAGTATTAGACAGAATTAAATATTTTTAACTCCCCCCCCCCCCCCCGATAGTTTCTCAATCTGCCTGTACTTGGAAACTAAAATAATCAATTATGAAAGAAGTAGATTGAATGTTAAATAAAGATTAAGAATAATTAATATTTCCTTTTAATATTGTCTGTTTTTCTAAATGTATTCAGTAATTCTCCATAATATGGTGCCAAATAATCAGTATCTAACATACTTTACATTTCCGATTTCATAAATGCATGCATGTCCTGCATGGGCAATCACTCCTTGCTAAGTATGTTTGTGATATGGGAATTTTTTTTCTCGCATGTTAAAAATTGTTCTTAACATATTAAATGTGTATTTCCAATTTTGTATTTTTATACATTTTGTAAAACTTATTGAATAAATTTTTATAGATATTTATGCATGCTCTGCTTGGGATTTTGAAAAAAAATTGTAGTTTTTGTTTCATCTCTGTATTTGGGTGATCTTTGGTCTTAGTTCTGTACACATTTGTTGTTTGTACTTTAATTGGTCATGATTAATTTACAAAAAACATTTTTCATGTGAATTTTTCATTTTTCATGAAATAAAGATAGAATTATATACAATAAAGTCATTTATTCTGTAAGGGTTAATTAGGCTGGAGAGCACGATTTGACAAATCTTTCTGTTTATATACCAATGTAATTCATGTTCAGCTCGATCAGTTTCATAGAAAGTCCAGAACTGATAAAGTTAATTTCATCCAACTCCATACATATAACACTTAATGGTTTATTAAAAGGTTAAAACAAGAATTTTGAGCTTACGTACATTACAATCTTCTGAATTTTTTAACTTAACAGATTACCAAGCATCTGTTTGGAACCAAACTTTGTGTCAAGTGATGAAACAAAACTTCCCTAAAGTAATTTTGATCAAAAAGTGCCAATGCAGTTTCATGTAGACCTCTGTCTGTTGTGTCATGTTTGTAAACTTTTTGTGTTTTTGATTTCTTGAGAACTACCAAGTCAGTTTTAACCAAACTTGCCTTAAAACATCCTTGAATGAAGGGAATTTTTAAGTTTGTTAATTTATATGATATAAAGATATTTAATTGTTTATATAATATTAAGATATATGATTAAGAATGAGTGGAAATTTTATCTTTTACATGTATTTGAAATCTTCTCTCAAGAACAACAAAGCTAATTTTATCATAAGAAAGGATGTACCGGTATGTGTAGCTGATTCAAGATTGTTCAAATCATGACCTCCAGGGTAGACAGTGGTAACAACAGGAGATCGAAGTTATTAAAAGGAATACTATGTTTCAAAAAGGCAAGAGGAGCTGAAAGCCACAACAGGTCAAACTTACATAGAAAAAAATCTGTGATAGACATTCATGGTTAGGAAAAGAAATATAGAAGTATTTTCATCTAATGACTATATTAAAAATAGTTGAAATCATGCCCCCCACCCCCTTTTGGGGTAGGTTTGGACCACATATATGTTTAAACTTTTCAATACCAAGTTTAAGTCTGCTTTCTTGCCAAAGAGCTTGTGGTAGCAGTGTGACCCATGGACTTCTCATTGAATAATGTTTAACTGTTAATTTAAAATTAATATGTTCCAAGGTCATTGCAAAATTTTGAGAAGCATAAAGTGTGTGTTTTGGTCCATTAAATTTTCTAAAGTTGAAACACTGAAATTTCATACTTCACAGAACATTGCTCATGACCTGAAGGTGTCTCATGACCTTGACCCTCGGTCATCTATAGTTTACCGGTAGTTGTTAATTTAATAGTCCAAGGTCATTGCAAATTTTAAACAAGATGTGTTTGTGAAACACTGATGCCCCCGTATGGCAACATAGCAAAAATTAAATTTTTCTTAAAAGCAAATTTAAATATATTGGAACCCAAAGTAGAGTATTTTCACTGGAAATACAATTGTGAAATATGAAAGAAGCCAAGGTTAAAGTTTTTTCATCAGTACAGAAATCTCAAATGTCAAGGTCAAAAGGTCAAAGTAATTCATATCCAATGAAAGGTCTTGCCAAAAAGAATACATATGTGAAGTATGGAAGTCCCAACCCTTCAAAAATTATGGCCAAGGTTAAATATTTTTAAAAAGAGGTCAAACTCCAAGGTCAAAGGGTCAAAGTTCTTGATATCAAAAATAGTTCTTGTCACTAGGATAAAATATGAAAAGTATGAAAGTGCTGGCCCTAACCCTTCAAAAGTTATGGTCAAGGTTTTTTTTTTTAAAGTAAATCAAACCTCAAGGTCAAAGGATCACAGTTCTTGGTATCCAGTGAAGGGTCTTCTCACAAGAATTATATATGTGGAGTATAAGAGCACTAGCCCTTAGCATTCTAAAGTTATAGCCAATGTTGAGCTTTTTTCATAAGTACAGAAATCTCCAAGGTCAAGGCCAAAAGCTCAAGTCAATTGTTATTCAATAAAATGTCTTGACAAAAAGAATACATTTGTGAAGTATTTGTGGTATCCAATAAAAGGTCTTAAATTTCCACAAAGAATGCATTTATGAAGTATTAAAGTCTTTGTTTCTACTGTTCAAGAGCTATAGCCAAAGTAAAAGTTTGGAATTTTTGTGTAAAAGTGGGTCAAACTCCAAGGTCAAGGTCAAAATGTCAAATTTTGTGGTACCCAAAGAAAGGTCTTGTCACAAGGACAACACATGTGAAATTTGAAAGTCATAGCTCCACTACATCAAAAGTTGTAAGCAAGGTTATAGTTTTTGGGGAACAAACAGACAGACAGACGAACAGACACAACAAAAACTATATACCCCCGAAACTTCATTTATGGGGGCATAAGAAGCATAAGAATGTGTTATTGGTCCATTAAATTTTCAAAAGGAGAAATGCCAATCGAAAGTTCATCCTTTATAGAAGTCTCATGACCTTGACCCTTGGTCATTTATAGTTTAGCTGTTAATTTATTAGTCCATGGTCATCGCAAATTTCAAAGAAGCATAGAATGTGTGTTTAGTCCTTATTTTCTGAAGGAGAATCACTGAAAGCTTAAAATTTATAGAAACACTGAAAGTTTATTACTTTATAGAAACGTTGGTGTCATGACCATGACCCTTTTTTGACAAGCACAATGCCATTTAAAATAAAATCTTTACTTCCTATCTTGACATTATGACTTTGATTTAAGGACATTTTTTAACATATTCAATGTTGATCAAAACAATTCAAGGTCATTGGAGAAAACAGTGGAAAAAAAGTCCAAATATAAAGCATATATATGTAAAGTCGAAACATTTTAGCTGCAACTTGTCTACGACATCAGTTTTGGGGTTTTTCATCAAAATAATAAGGTAAAGTCTAGAGAGAATTTCAAAACAAACAAGATGGCTTCCCGAGTTGTTGGGACAGTGCGAGCAGTTGCTAAAAAACGACTTATCCCTACCAAGGCTCCACTAGTATTGGTAAGGATTGTTTTTTTTATCTAAAATAATCAGAATACTTTGAAATTCCAAACCTAGGAGCCACACAGTTCGTTAATGTCAATCGTTATCAACAGAGGTCGTGTCATTCAGCTGTCATGTTTTGTTTTACGTAATTTTTTTTCCATTAAAAGTCAGGAATATGAACACACTTCATACGTTCAGGAGCAATTTAATTTTCTTTTTTTTTCATTTATCTATATAAATACATCACGGATCAGCAATATGCTTAAAAAATTCCTCTCTTTTATATCGATTAGTTATACAACAATGAATTTTATAACATATTGAAGGAAGAGAATGTGAAATACAAGTTCAAACTATATGTATATTATACTTAAATCAAAAGAATAAACCAGACCTGGCAAGCACAGGATTTGTGGCAACATGGCCAAAAGTTTGGAAATCTATGAATGAAGAAAAAGTTTATTTTTATATATTTGACATTCAGTGTTATTATACCCCTCGCTTAGAAAAGCGGAAGAGTATATAGTGATCAGGTAACGGGTTTATTTGCCCGATCTACTGTTATGCTTTGAGGTACCTGCCCGAAATATTTTTCGCTCAATATCTTGTTCACCCTATATTTGGTTCGCCCAATACTTATACATACTTGTATATAAATGAATTAAAAAATAACATACGAGTATATCATTTTTTCTATTTATTTCCCTTACGAACTTGCCTTATTTTTTTTTTGATCTTAGGACAATGTTATTTTATAGTCTCTCAATTTTTGATGCAAAAAATGGACTTTGTTTGCACTATATTAATGATGATAATATCAATGTTAATTAGGGAGGCATTTGTTTTATTTTTACGAATTGTGCTATGCTTTGAAAACAATTAATTTGAAAGGACTGAGCGTTATAGGTGTGACCACTCACAGGTACCTCTAGTTTTTTTTGAATGTACAAAAAATTAGGAAAGAATTTCATTAGATTTTATTCTACTTTAAATTACGGTGAACGGACCCTGTGCGAACAAGTTCTAGGGCGAGTGCCACCCATTCAAAAAAATGTATATTTATTGGGCACAAAAAAGTGATCAGCTGTTTCTCGATTTATTTCTCTTATGTTTTTAACAACTCTTTTACTATGACTGAAAAAATTTAATAACTGTGTTCCTAACATATTCTTTTTGACTGTTTCTCTCAACAAAAAATGCCTTACAATTGTTTTTAATATATCCCCCCCTATCTGAAATTGAGATCATCGAAAAACAACTTCCAATTTATACTGCTTTTTTGGTTTTCTGTTAAAAAGATAATCTCAATCACCAAAGATCATATTTCACTTCTTTGAATTAAATGTAAACTCAAATAAGAGTAACACAGTTTTTAGAATTATTACAAAAATTTTTTTTTAACATTTTGATTTAACAGTCATTTTTTAATTTGCAATTGAGACAACAAGACAAGAACTTTGAAATGGATAATAAAACACTTTAATTTTTATGAAAAACATGCATTAAATGATTTATAAGCCTTTTTTGTGGACTTTTTATAATCCAATATATCGCATATCGATTTTTCAATGGGTGGCACTGTACACAGCTCTCTAGCCTGTATAATGTATAACCATATGGGAGGCAGGAGCATCATTTAGCGAGCTTATTGCTCACATTACCTCTATTTTTTTTTTTATTACATTCTGCATGTAAGTTGAAGTCAACATAACAAGAGACTATGCCATTTAAATTTTCATTGAAAATATTGCAATGCAGTCAGTTTAAAATATCACATTTTGCAATATAAAATTTCTTGTCCAGGGTGAACTTGATTTAGGGTGAATGACTAGACATTCCTATCACACACCTGAAACCTTGTCTCTGGGCAGTATAATATAAAGTAGGAACTTTAATGAATTTTCAATGCTCCAGGATCACCATTATATTTTATTCCATTTATTAATTAAAAACAATTATCCAATCAATGATAGAAGAAATATATCAATTGTATGTATAGAATTAATTTGTATTTTTCTCCCTCCCATTATTTGCACTTTGTTTTCGCTATATAAAAATAATTTCGTGTGCATTTAATTTCGTTGATTTAAAACTAACCCCATTTAAGATATAGTCATATAAAATTTCGTGTGGGATTTAATTTTGTTGAATTTTGTTAACAACGAAATTTAATCCCCCACGAATATTTGTGCTTTTACAGTATGTAAAACTGTCCATATCACGATGGCTCTTGCATCTATTTAGCACTCAAGTACTGAAGGCACAAACTTCAAATAAATATTTTTAAAAAATTACCATTGTTAATCTCGGTACAGTAAATGTCTGTCTAGTATGTATTTTGATATCCTTTTCTTTGTAATCTCCAGACTCCAGCTGCAGTAAATCAAGTAAAGAGGCTACTTAATGAAAATGTTGATATGGTAAGATATCTAAATCTTAACAAATTTTTCCATCCATTTGGTATTTTTGTATAATATATTGGCTAGATTTTCTTTGGTCACAGTTTGTGGTATTTTTCTTGATATAAACATAAATTCTTGATTTTTATGTGGATGTTGAATAAAGGAAGAAAAAAATGGAATGGCCATATCCTACCTTGAAAATAACTTTATTTTTATCCTTTGCAATGCAACACATGTTATTTTGAATTTTCAAACAGAAATATAATCCAAGTTTCTATTTTTATTTGCAGATTGGTCTTAAGATTGGTGTGAAGACCAGGGGTTGTAATGGTTTAACCTACACAATGGAGTATGCAAAAGAAAAGGGGAAGTTTGATGAGGAAGTCATACAAGATGGTGAGATTTTACGAGGATTATATGCTTATGACAATTCTCATCATTGGATACTCAATCTCCCATAAGCTTACTCAATAGTGTATGCAAGATTGACTGTGGGTTTCCAAAGATAGACTATTCTATGTAGATTATAAAAACTTGGAAAAAATATAGTCAGTGATACAATAATTACTGACTTTTATCCAATAGCTTTCCTCATAAATTTATAACCCCTTAACATCTTGTTTCTATATTAGACAAATATTCAGTGATATGTACTCATACCTACAATTTCTACAAACAACATACTTTTTCCTTGGACCTAAATATTATTACATTATAGCATAAAAGGATAGAGTACTCTGACATGTTTTCGTATACAGTTCATCTTCTTCTATTGTATGATGCTAGTATCCATAAAAAGAGTTAAATTTGTATCACATCTCTGAACTAAATGACTGTGGGTTTGCACATGTGTATTAGGCCTAATAAAAAAGTTTTCTGAATAACTTACAAATAATACTGTTAATATCCATTCCACCAATATGAATTTACTTGTCTAGATTTCAGTGTATGTATATACATGTATGTTTCATTTATTTCAGGTGTAAGGATTCTCATAGATTCAAAAGCTCAATTGACATTACTTGGAACAGAAATGGATTATCAAACAGACAAACTTTCGGCTGAGTTTATATTTAATAATCCAAACATCAAAGGCACATGTGGCTGTGGAGAAAGCTTTAATGTATAATATTTTTAACATTAATTCATCTGTGATTGTGTATAAGATAGAACATGTGATGTATGACTGTCTTTTATGTACGTCTTTTATCCAAATGTGTGAAACTGAGAAGGTGAAAAATACATTCATATATGTGTGTGTGTGAGGGTGTGTGTGTGTGTGTGTGTGAAAAATACCTTTATGCATGCAAATTTGGTTGCATATGTAACAGATACCATGCTTAAAATCATAACTATGTGAGATGACAAAATGTTCTAGTGTATTGTTTGTTGTTAGATGGAAAATATGCTTTTTGCAGACTTCTCCACTGTGTTTCATCTATAAAATTAGCTTTTATAGATATTTGTTATGAAAGTGATTTACACATAACATAATACATTATGTTATTTTGAAACATTTTTTATTTATAAAATCATCTCAATAAATTTTTTTGTGTGGATTCAATATTGTCATTCCAATTAATGTGAAACACCTGTTACTGTCATGAACCTTTGGGAAACTTGGGTTTCAGTCACAGTGATTTTCAGAGACTAATAATCCAATATCAATCAGACAATGGAAATCCACTTGAAAATTTTCCTCATGAGTAGTTTACAACACTGTCACTGGAATTGCCTGCTGCAGTTTCTGAATATGACTAGCTGCCAGAAATACCGTATAACTGGATTTTTCTACGGGGTGCTATTTTTTGCGAAATTCTGCGATCAAGTCTTAATCGCAAAAAATTCAATCGCAAAAAATACGTAAATAAAATCCGGAATTTTCAGTTGCGATCATCGAAGTTCTACTTCTACAGATACCGGAAGTATATGTAAATAATGCCATTGATTGCACGTTTTCAATCGTATTTTACAGGTAATTTACTTGATATCAACAACAATGATTATTTTTCGAATAAATAAAACGAATTCCTAAAGATTCAATATTTATTTGTTCCTACATTGTATTTCATGATTTATTTATATGAAACCAATTGTCGGTTTGGCTATCTATTTTACGCTTGATTGGCGTGTATACAAGCGCAATCAAAACTTCGAGAGATAGAGAGTAAAATTCAATGCTGCCAGAGATCAGGAGTAAATTTGCTTAGTTATATAAGAGATCGGAGTTCAATCCATCGAGAGTCAAATTGCTTTGGTTTGTTCAATAAAAAATAAAAATAGACTTTATTGTTTAAATGTCTAGTAATAAAATTCATAAAAATAAAAACTTAGAGAGAAAAAAAACCCCATCAAAATCCAGCAAGTGAATCTGCCAAGTGTCTACACATTTCCTGTATTTGCTGGTTAGTCATGTGTTGTGAAGCCGAGATGGCATTAGTTACAGCAATAGTCTCCATCACTGTGTGACACTTAATCCAGATGCGTCCATTCATTCCTACTGCAACCTCATACTGTAGACTCTTTCCTAGTGACTTGAAAAGAACACAGTCTTGGCTCAATACCCTGAAAAAGAAAGGAACCATAATGATATGCTTTGTGTTTTAAATGAAAACTCCTCATTTTGCTGTATGCAAATATAACTTACTTTCTTATTAAATTAAGGGGGACTTGAACCAGCATTCCTCCATCTCTCCCAATCACACCCAGTCCTGCACTCTTTCCATGACTATCTATGCATACTAACTCTGGCTCCATATCTTTGTTTGCGACTAAAAATTTGCAGTAAACTATGTCACCCACCTGGGAAAATGAATGAACATGTACAGCCAGGTATAAAGTTCAATAGATTGGACTAACCCTTTTCTGAAAGTGGCTTTTACTCACAAAAATTTGAACGATATTGTGCAGCAGACAAAACCTATTTTAGAACATAAATAAATGCAATAAGAGGAAGATACTTTATGATAATCATCAGCATACCTTGACATCTGGTCGGTTTCTTTTCGTTGCACTCTCAAATGCCAAATATGACAGTGTTGCCAGTTCATTAGCACCAACATCTACACGGAAGACATCACCAGCTTTTGCCGTTACAATCCCTATAACAGAATCTCCTTTTTGAGGAACATACTGAAAAAAAGAAAGAGGTAAATGTTTGTTAATAGATCTTTAATTCATTCCACACATGTTCATGTTATGCACAAAAAGTACGTCAACATTCAATAAAAATATTGACTTGCATACTGACATATCAACCTAGATATATTGCCTCTGATCTGTATGATGAAAAATGCTAGTTAGTTCTGTGACTGTTTTGAAATCAGGATATGTTAAAAGAATGATAACTCTATATCCTACACATGCACACATACTGGGTGCGTTCACAGTTCTACCATTAGTACCAACTTTCAATATACCATTGGTGCAGTAATTTGACAATGGTACCAACTGTACCAATAAAACCTGAACGGATATTGGCATAAAAATGTAACGATTTTACCAATGTTACCAATGGGAGTCCAATGGAAACGTTGGTAATACTGAATTACAGATTTCCTTGTCTTCTAAGTTATTGGCACATGTCAGAATCGCAAGAAAATCATAGCAGACTTATAGCCCAGAAACAAACCACATCAGGATCACACTTCTTTAATTGCCATATTTATGAGTTTTATATAATCCATTTAATGGATCATGTCTAAATCATACTTCAAAATCATGAATTTAAGTGTTTGTTATGATTTTTATGTGATTTTGGCATGATTGTTAAAAAGGCTTAGAGGAAAAATCATTTATATCATTGTGAATCTGGGATCCAAGTCTTTCTAGCTTGTTGCCATGTCGATAACTAGCTGTGACGTCATTTACCAACATTGACCACACTCTAGCCTGTCTGCAGAAAAATATACCATTGGCAAAACACATTGGTACCACTGGCATGCCATTGGTAATTAATTTTACCGACGGCAACTTTTGTCTACCAAGGGCAGAACTGTGAACGCACCCACTATGTCTATTTTGCATACTGGGATACTTTTCTCGCATATTGACATAATTTAATCTGTCAATATGCGAGGGAGGGAGGGGGCAGACATTTGTCACCAGATAGTATATTCCATCATGGAATTATCATAATTCATGTCGTGAGAGATATAAATAAGATTGTTCATATCTTACGCGTTTCTGAAAACTATCAACCCAATAAATATTTGGTTCCTTGAACTTCAATACCCCTGGTTTTGATATTATAACAGAGTCTGAGTCTTGACGTATTCCTGGACCTAACACCACTTTTGAAGGTAGATCTGCTCCGTGCAAATCAGTGAGAATCTCTCCAGGTACAACAACTTTTCCCACATTGTCAGCCATGCTTGTTTTCATTTCTTCGGTGTCACTAGTGTGTTTGAATTCGGAGAGATGAAAAGCCTTCTTTCATGCACTTTTTAGATACAGATTTAGGAAGATCCTTCTTTAGTCGGACAATTTTGAAAGAGAAAACCAGGGAATGTTATTGACTTGATTTTTCTCATCAATTGATAAACTTTAATATTTTTATTCATAAATTTCATATGCCTATAAAAATTCTAAAAACAAATTTACTTGATGAAATTAAATTTCTTCAAGCCAGCGGATAGTCAAATATAAAAATATGCTTAATTTCAATTTAATCCGCACTTGAATTTTAGGTATTGACCTGAATTTTAAGGTCATCAACAAATATAGTCTTTTTCATTTTCAAGGTATTCATATTTAAACAGTTTATTCTTCAAAGATTGATTGCATCTACTAAAGAAACTAAAGAGCTGCTAAATGTTACTCTAAATTTATTGAGATGTAAATTGATTTTTCATTTGCATTAAAAATTGTGATTTATAACTGATTTCTATACCCAATTTTTGAAATAAACTATATAAATTATAGAGAAAATGGCGTCAAGATTTGACAACGTGCAGGTCGCTGTTCTCGCGGATAATTACAATTTTAAGTTTTTGACTGATGATCCGCTCACTGTTGATGTCTCTCACCAAGGAGACTGTGTTATGCTCCAATTTCACAAAGGTATTTCTTTTTCTAGCCCTTATAAATAGCAGAAAAACCACTTTCTTATATTGGCGGAACAAAGGCATAATGGAATATGATCTGATAAAATAAGAAAATAAAAAACGATTTTTGTTAACAAAAACATTTTCAGCCAATAATTATCCATTTTTTTTTATGTATTTGGTTAATATATAGATATGTCAACTTATGCTAATTTAATTTGACAAATAACAAGATGATATATATTTGCAATCATTCAACAGGTTGGGCACACACCCCGAAATGGTCATTAAACCCCCGTTTGGTGGTCAATCGCCCATATCGGCGTCTTTATTACCTACCAAATGGTGGTCTTTTTTATTCAAATCCAAATTTTATTAAAATAAAGCATAAGCGCATTTACTTAGGCATTGGAGAATTTTAATCAACATATTCCTCGTACATTTAATGCAATTAAGTCAATTTTCCATGTGGAATTTCTTAACTTCATAAAAACAAAACCCACAGTTGTGCGTGACGGCCTATAAACAATACGAAAAAGTATTTTGTTGTGTATAGTTTGGTAAAAAATATATTTAAACAAGAGGTGTTAGTCAGAGAAGTAACTTTTCAAATGATCTTTCAATTTCATAAATCTTAAAAATCCCGTTAAACACGAGCTCCTCGTATTGTATTCGTATGGTGGGCACTTACTGCTATAATATTCATTTTTTCTACATTTGAATGTAACATTTATTTTTTATTTCTTTTAGGATGAAGTTACGATTTCTGTGCGACCCTTTGTGGTTTCATATGCATATCTATGATGTATCTACTATATTTATTAAAAATTTTTGAATAAAAAATTTACAAAGTGACATTTGCAATTATTCTTATTTCTATTCCAAGATTAGAGTTTTTGAGCGATTATTTTATCAAAAATTCACGGCATGTCGTATTTTTGTAAAAAAAATAAAGCCAAAACATACGAAATAAACGATATAAAAGAGAATTCTTACCTTTCATCGTATTTTACTTTTTGAAAATTTACACTAACGGGCCTCCGTAGTGAAATCAGTCTTTTGACCCAAGTTCGGAAAAGATCGTCCTTTTTAATTGGTTAAGATAATTGATCGGTTACCCGGATGACAGAAATATGAAGTGATAAACACGATTGATAGGCTCAACTACGCGCGAGATGGAGGGGATTTTTCTTTTTAAGTTAAAACACAGAAAAGTTACTCTTGTTTACATAGGTGACGATTTTGTCAAATATTTGAACGACACTGCGCAAAAAAGTCCGCGTTGAAATTCTGATTTTTTTCGTTCAAAGTTTAGAAAAATATCTATATTTTATTCCCCGTGAGTTGAAATTATGCGCCATTTCATGTTATTCCAGAGAACTGAACAAAACGATTTTTCTCTCCCATTTGGTAGGTAATAAAGACGCCGATATGGGCGATTGACCACCAAACGGGGGTTTAATGACCATCTGGGGGTGTGTGCCCAACCTGTTCAAGTATTGTGTAATTAAAATAGAATATCATTAAATATATGGCTGTTGTGAGAAATATTTATCTGTGAAAAAGTGATGTATGACGGGGTTGCTCCTAGACTGACCATAGACTTAATGTTACATTATTGGATTTGAATTGAAACCGTACTAAGAAATTAGATGAACTGCCCGACTTGGGTTTATATAAATTAGTGATATGGAAAAAATCTTCAACATTCATAGACTTCTTAATTATCATGAAATTCATAAATAAACTGTAAACACCAGCAAATAATAATAAACATTTCAATATCCAAGTTTTTAACCTGTACTGTATTTACACAAGTACCTGAACACAAGGTATCTACCGTTACTTATGTTCATTTGCATCTGTTTTGGTCTTCCACCATTCAATTTAGTGTTAATCTTTGAACATCTAGCTAACTCTGATTTACATGGAGTTCTCCCCTCTTGCAGCTACTTTCACTCTCAGAGAAAATGCACTGGCAAAGTGTTTAATACCATTCTCTTTTCTTTTTTCTTAATTTTCTACAAACCATATATCATATATGACATCATGCTCATGCATGCTTGTCTGTATTTTTTTCATCATCCAGGATTTTTCTATAATGGGTAAAGTTTCATAATATTTTTTTTTATAATAACACATTCAAAATTTTATTTTTTGACTTAAATATTAAAACATTGAAATTGAAAGATTGTTAAATTTTTCTTTGTGTCCAAGGTGGGTACATAGCACTTCAAATCAGCAATATTTTGTTTGTTAAATTTGTTACACATACTGAATTAATGCACCATGTGTTTTTTATTGTAAAAATTATACTCTTTCAATTTGTAGAAAAAGTCCCTGTGCACACATTGTCAATAAACAATGACACGGAGCATTCTCGTATGGGATCACAGAGCATCATCTTTACACGAGACAAGGACACAACATTGGTCCATTTTCCTAGTGTTCACAGTAAGTGAGTCCTGCCAAGTCTAATAAGTATCCTTAAATTCCTACATTTATTCTGGTTAACACATTTAACATTCATGGAACTAGTATAGAAAGAAGAAAAAATTAATTCAATGCAATATCATTTTTTTTTGTTTTTGCAGATATGAAGCAGTTTCAGTTTAGACTGAATGAATTGAAAGATGGCTTAAAATCTGTATTTAGTGACAGAACAGATGCTGCGTCAGCTGTCCAGTATTTCCAGGTAAACTTCATTACCTTGAAATGGGCCACTGTCACAGATTTAAGTCTTTAATCCAGTTCCTTGTATATATATGTTGTAATGCCTTCTGGGGCCCTTGATTGGTAAATATAATACTGTACGTGTACATAATTTGGTGTGTTCAAAATTTAGCGCAATAAGTGGATATGGAGTTGTTGGCGTAATCATGAATTAGCGCTACACATGTTCGTGCCTTATATTCTATATGATAGAATTATACCGGTAAATGAATTCTTAGTTGTATTCATGAATTAGCGCATCCTTGCTTCCGCCAAAGCCACTAAAATAAGCGCCCCCTATTTTAAGTACACATGCAGATTATTGTACCTTGTTATTAGTTTTACTACAAATAGTTACCATTCTCCATTGTAGTTTTATGGATACCTCTCACAACAACAGAACATGATGCAGGATTACATAAGGACATCTACGTATCAGAGGGCAATGCTGGCTAACTTAATAGATTTCCATGACAAGGTCAGTGATTGTCTTAAATATGGAACACACAGAGAAATTTATAAACTTTACAGTTCGTATTGAAATAGGTTGTTGTATAATCTTTTCATTTCTATATGTGATGTGTTAGATGAGTAATCTGTTTTATTTATAAGGTTGTGTTAGATGTTGGTGCTGGTTCAGGGATTTTGTCATTCTTTGCCGTCCAGGCCGGAGCAAGAAAAGTGTACGCCATCGAGGCCAGCAGTATGGCTACACACTGTCAGGTAGGAAACATAATGTATACCAGTAAGAGGGGAGGATACTCACAGCTCTGATCGTTAACATAAATAATTATTTGTTTTTAATGTATGGTGATATATAATGAAACAGTTTAAAAAATCCTATCAAGTAAATATTTACTAACAAGAGAAGTGAATTGTATTTTGTAAATGCTCTTTGTTTTCTTTTAAAGACTCTGGTTGCACAGAACAAAATGTCCGACAGGATAGTTGTAATTCCGGGTAAAGTTGAGGATATAGAGATCCCTGAGCCTGTAGATACTATTATATCAGAACCCATGGGCTATATGTTATTTAATGAGAGAATGCTGGAAAGTTACCTTCATGCAAAGAAGTGGCTGAAACCTGGAGGTACATGTAACCTTAGATGAATGACAAGAATTATCCGTATCAATATGTGCATGTCAGAATTGCATTTAATTTTACTTTGAAAATGTTTATTTCAATAGCTAAAGTAAAGTTTCACTCCAAAATGGTTCATATAACTGTGGCAGGTATCCTTGTTTGTCAACAAAGTAAATGCCACTAACCAAATTGTTGACACTTTATATGTCAGTTGCCAACAATGTGATATAAAGTTATATTCATATTTTTTTCAGGAAAGATGTTTCCAACTCTGGGAGATTTACATATTGCTCCCTTCACAGATGAAGCTCTCTACTTAGAACAGTTCTCTAAGGCCAATTTCTGGTAGGTTTTGACACGAGTTTTGAGTTGATAACCTTATACATAATTATATATATATATATATCTTGACTGGTCTGCTTGGCATCCACTGTGGGAAGCTTATAACTTTGGATATTTTTATTGCATCCTATATACAACTTAGATCAATTAAATTTTTCATTTACTGGTATTATTAACTATAAGACAATCTTGAAGATTCTATGGTTTTGATATTTACACCCTTATATGTTTCAGGTATC